TTAGGCTGTCCTGCATTGTTTGTACTCCTTTTCTTCCTTGCTTTTTCATGCTGCTCATGTTACTTCTTGTTCTGTTTGACTGCTGAGTTACTGTTTACTCCTATAAATTTATTTGATGCTTGGGAGGAAAGGTATTAAAAGGGAAGGGAAGAAGTCACTAAAGAGAATGAGAGTAAGCAGGTCGAATTCAAGGAAGGGGGAATAAAAAAAATTGAAAAGAAATGAAAAGACAAAAGAAAAAAATAGAAAAGAAAAAAAGAAAAAATAATAATAATAATTAAAAATAATTAAAATTAAAAAAATTTTTAAAAATTTAAAAAACAACAACAAAAAAAATGAAAATGAAAAAAAGAACCCAAATTTAAAAAAAATAATAAATGCAGTCTTAAGAGTTTGATTAACTTCTCTTCTCCTATCAATACGTGGGAACCAATCACTGTGCAGCAGCTCCTCCTCCCAGACTGGGCGAGTCTCCAATCCTGAGTGCCTAGGGCCTCCTCTTGTGTCTAGTCGCTTCCCCACTTTTCCTCAAGCCAGGCCCCACTCACTGGTGACGCTCACCACAATACTGGCTACACGCCAGGTCTGCTGCTCCCAGGAGCCCTGATTTCATGAACGCCTGGGCACACTCTCCCTGTTTGCCATTCCCTCAGACCCTAAGTTTGTAGAGCTTGGGGCTGAGAATCCTCAGCGAAGTTTGCTTACCCTCCGGTAGCCACATCCCCGGAAGCTGGTGCAAGAGACCTCAGCTATCTGCTCTGATCGGAGCGGTAGCCGGGAGTTCTGCGCCGCAGGCCCGCACCACTCCTGATTCCCTTCGTCTGGCTATCGCGCTCATGGGAGAGCTGGGAGGGGCTCTTAAGCCCTTTGAACATATTCTTTCAGTATTAGATTCTACTGTTAACTTGTGACAGCTACTCTAATAGTTCCTTTGAATATGTATCATTTATCTGCTGCTGCTGTAACAAATGACCAAAAACCCAGGGACTTAAAACAACACTGATTTGTCATCTAAAAGTTTTGATGGTTAGAAGAGTAAAATAAGTCTCATTGGGCTAAAAGCCAGGTGGTGGTGCTAGCAAGACTGCATTCCTTTCTGGAAATTCTACAGGGAATCCCTTGTGATTTTTCCAACTTCTAGAGACTGCTCACTTTCAGATTCATGCCCCCTCCTATCTTTAAAGCCATGGGTGGTGGGTCAAGCCCTTCCCACATCACATGACCCTGATGCTGACTCTTCTGCCTTCCCTTCTACTTTTAAGGATCTTGGTGATTACATTGGGCACCCAGATAATCCACGATGACCTATGTAAGGTCACTTAGGTAGCAGCCTTGATTCCCCTCTGCTATATGATGTTACATGTCCACAAGTTGTGAGGACAGGAACAAAGATGTGGGCATCTTTTAGAGGCTATTACTCTGCCTACCACAGCAGGTGATTTGACTTTTGTCTTTTGGCTGCTTCTAGAATATTCTGTATCTTTGGCATTTTACCTTTGGTATATATTTCTTTCTTTTTAGCTTTATGTTAAAGTGTAATATACATAAGAAAAATGCACATATGTACAGTTCAGAGAATTTTCAACAAATTGAACACACCCAGGATATCTTATCCCCACACACACCCAATATCTCTGTTACTAGCAGTCAGAGCAAGAAACGGAACACACCAAAGCCCACCTCCATAAGTGGGTAAACTGCTAGCCCAAATTCTAACAACAGTGATTAATTTTTTTTTCTCTTTTTTCTTCATGTAGTATATACTCTCTTGCATCTGATTTTCTTGGCTCATATTTTTCTTTGCCCCTATTTTTGCTTATAGGTATAATTCATTCATTGGCATTACTATGTAGTATGCTGTTAGGTGATTATACTACAGTTTGTTTATTTTTTTCATCTGTTGATGGATATTTCAATAGTTTCTGGTTCAGGGCTGTCAATATAGTACTGTGATGAAAGTTTTGTACATGTCTTTTGAAGAATTTATGTCATTACGTACCTAGGAATGGAATTGTTAAGTTGTGGAAAAAGTTGGAGTTTTCTTTTTGTTTATCCTATTTAGAAAACATTATTATTTAGAATGTTTGGGATATTGTCTTATGAAAGTTCCTCAGCCATTGCTCTTAAAATACTACCTCTCCCTGGCCATGGTGGTGCATGCGTGAAATCCCACTGATATAGGAGGCAAAGGTAGGAGGATCCCAAGTTCAAGGCCAGCCTGGACAACTTAGTGAGACCCTATATCAAAAGATTAAAAGGGCTTGAATGTAGGGCTAAAAGCTCAGTGCTAGCTTTTAGCCCAATGAGACTCATTTTATTCTTCTAACTACCAAAACTTTAAGATGACAAATCTGTTTTTTTAAGCCTCTGGGTTTTTGGTCATTTGTTATAGCAGCAGCAGATAAATGATTACATATTCAAAGGAACTATTAGAGTAGCTGATACAAGTTAACAATAGAATCTGATACTAAAAGAACATATTCAAAGGTCTGAAAAACAGCTTTTGACTGTACTGTTAAAAAAAAAAACTACACACAAACTGCTACTTCATTCATGGTGTTAATTAGATGTATGATGTTAGATCTTTTCTGCTTTTTCCTTCCTTTATCAATTTCTCTTATATTTTTCCATCTTCTTTCTCTTTTCTCTGTACCACACCCAGGTTATCTTATCCCCCCCACACACCCAATATCTCTGTATTCCAGGTCAGTTACTTCTTTAATCTGTTTAAACTCATTCAGTGAGTTTTTATAGACATTTGAGTTTTTGTTTCTAAAGATTCTGTTTGAACCTATCTGATCATGATGTCGTCTTATGGCTTGTTCATTTTTTAAAATTTCCATCCTTAATTTTTGTAAAATTGTATAATATTTATTTTTAGTTTGTGTCTGATAATTCTAATATCTAAAATTCCTAGAGGATCTAATTTTTTTTAAGTGATGAAGAGAGTTTTTTGAGAGAGAGAGAGAGAGAGAGAGAGAGAGAGAGAGAGAGAGAGAGATTTTATTTATTTATGTATTTTTTAGTTCTCAGCGGACACAACATCTTTGTTTGTATGTGGTGCTGAGGATCGAACCCGGGCCACACGCATGCCAGGCGAGCACACTACCACTTGAGCCACATCCCCAGCCCCCTGATTTTTTTTTTTCCTTGTTTGGTTTTGTTCTGTTTAGTTTTCACTTCCGCTGTATCTCATGGGTGTTTGTTTGTTTGTTTGTTTTTCCATGTATGTTTGGGTGTTCTGTGATTGTGAGCTCATATTTACTTTTTATTTAATCTCTGGGAATTTTGGTAGCCCTAAGGGGATGCTTTTCTGCGCAGGGTTTTGTATTGCTTTTGCAGAGAATCAGGGAGATACTCATCTGGGATCCCTTGCACCTCCTTTCAGAGCCCTGACTGTCCAGGTCTTGTTCTGTTTGATAGAATTGCTATGATATTTAAAGTATAAAATACAGAGAAGGTAAAAAAACAAACAAACAGGTGTCCCTGCTGATAGTGGTGCTGGTATATTCCCTGATTGCAGGGTCACCCACCTTTGTAGCTTCCCACTCAGCTTTCGTTTCAGCTTCCGGTTTTTCATTTTGTTTGGGGGATTCCTGGGAGTTTCCGTTGCTTTCTGTGAGGACAGTCACACACTGCACACTCAGGCCTGCACAGGTTTCATTGTTTCTGAGGAGTTCCAGGGTGTGGAGAGGCTGCCTTCAGTTTTCCTGGGCTCCTGGAAGTAGACCCCCACACACTCCACTTGCATTCAATCACTTTGTTTTCCATTCTGGAGACAGAGTGGTAGCTTCAAAACAGATATAATTTGTTTTGCTCTCTTGCATGAAACCCTTTGCTGCTTTAAAAAAAAAACTATTGGTGCATTATAATTATACATAATAGTGGATTGATTGTTGCATATTTGTAGAGGCATATAATATGACAATATAATTTGATCAGTTCAGTTCCCCTTTCTGTTACTTTTTAAATTCCAGAGACTTCTATTTCTTTATTCTTCTCTTAGTCTATCATGACATGTAGGAAGTTATGTTAAGGGGATACATAGGCTTAATGCTATAAGCAACATAGATAAAATGAACTCAGAGATGTGTTCTTAATTTGAAAAAAAATGGGAGGCTAAATCCAGATAGAGACCTACCAGGGGAAGTAAATGTCAGCTAGACTCCCGTATATTAATAAATCCTCCAGGCAACAAGTATGAATTTTAAGATGCCTCTTTAATGATCTGTATCAGTAAATTGTATCTTTCTTAAATCAGTGGTGTTAGTTGATGTCCCAAGATGGGTCCCACATGAGGGGCCACCTTCTGTCAGGTATCTCTCTGTGAATCGACATGGAATTTTCCTAAGTGTTTCCTTCCAGAGCTGCTGTGAGTGTGTGGGATGGGTGAACTCTCACAAGAGAGAAAGTATGCCTTTGTAGTTTGGTCTGATTCCTTGTGCTTCTTAGCTCTGGCTGCAGTTCACTGGCCAGGGATGAATATCCTTTGCCATCCCTGAGGACTTACCCCTAGCACTTGGCAATAGAAGCCAGTACCCATATCCATATTCAGATGGAAGTGGTGAAATGTCAGCTGCCCCGAAAGGTAAACAAAATAATGGTGCTGATTGCATTCATGGGCTGTTGATAAAGTGCAGTTTAGAAGCTAAGACAGTGGTGCTCCTGTGAGATGCTCGCAGGAGATGCATGTCAGAGCATGTTACCACTGGAGAAGAGAAAAGGCAAAATACTCTGCATCACCTCCAGGGAGGGAATGAAGATTGCAATTTTCAGCTCTTGTGACTGCATGTTGCTGCCAGCTCCTTCTCACCAGGCTTTTTTCAATTTTTCATGCAGAATCGAGTTTCAGAGGATTTCTGAAGAAAACATGTTGTTGAAAAATGATCTGGGAAAGATTCAGCAGGAACTTGAAGCTGCAGAGAGCACAAATGATGCACAGAGGTAAGGCGTGTCTCAGTAGTTCGCCCACATTGACAAGACAGAGGCCTCTGTATCTGTCTCTAGAATGAGCTTAGCAGGGATTGATATAGAAAGTGGGAGATGCTGGCAGATAAACCTCATTCCAGAAAGACCTACGTGGATGAACTTGTGGACTTCTGAACAGATCTGATAGGCATAGGGGATTCTGACTTCCCACCACAGGTTGGCAGCCACTGTATATGCTCCTTTGTCTCAGAAGTGGGGACAGAGCGTATGCATGCTGCTGCATGGTTGGTTCCACATCCACAACTCCAGGACACAGCCCTCAAAACTGACATACAAACACTTCTCACCTATACAGAAATGCTCCATGTCACAATTAGGCGTGGGGGACAGTGAGTGTTTTTGGAGGGGTGGGAAGTGCTACTAGGGCCTTCCTGAGTAAGGAGAGTCTATCTGGTTATGTTCTGATAAATGGTTTCAGCTGTGCATTTCCTCAAGGTTCATTGCTGGTATATCAATGTCAGTGAGTCAAGGCTGGAGATGGGACAGGCAGGGCAGGGACGTGTGCACCAGAGAAGGAGAGAGTCTGCAGGGTGAGAGTGGCTTTCTGCCGTCACTACTGTAACTGCATCCAAGGACAATTTGTTTATTCTTTTTTATTTTTTCCCAACTATGAATTTCAAGATGAGCTCAGCTCTAAAATGCTGATAATGTGGTTCTGGTTTGATAAATTACTGTGATGTTGCTAGAGTAGTTAGTATTATGTTATAGCAATTCCACAGTCTAAAATTCTTTTTTTGGTGGGGTGAGGAATAGAAATTCAGTGGATTAGACAAAGGGGAGTGAAAGGAAGGGAGTGGGGACAGGATTAGGAAAGACGGTAGAATGATTCTAACATAAGTTTCCTATGTGCATATAACAATACACCACAGTGAATCTCAATATTGTGTACATTCACATGCCTGGGATCTTAATTAGAATAATATATATTCCATGCTTATATAATTATACCAAAAATGGATTCTACTGTTACATATAACTAAAAATAACAAATAAAAATTTAAATAAACAAAATTTTTTTTTCTCTCTGTGTTTTGCCAGGACTCTTTAGCAACAAACCTCACTAGTAGTAAGACTGCTTGGGTCTTCGTGCTGCTGAATGTGAATAAGTTATATATTTTGCAGAAAAAGAAATATTAGTATGTGTGACTAAGGAATTTTACAGGTGCTGTTTATTCATACAATAGCGGCAACTGTCTACATATCTGAGCAATTTCACATTTCTAAATTTTCCCTGGTGTGGGATTGGACTGGCTCCTTCCTCCTCCTCATCACCAGCAGCCTCAGTAGTATTGTCATAGACATCGTGGCAGTGGGTGTCCTGGGGCTGTGGAAGACCCAGGACAGACAGAATCTGTTCTGTGACTACAAATTCAAGCTGGGTGATGGCCAAGGAAAAGACACTGGTTAGTCAGAAATGATGTTGTTTATTTTGCTTTTTCAACAGAAAGGAAATTGAAGATTTAAAGAGAGACAAAGAAAAGACCTGCCTTGAAATGGAAGAACTCAACATACAGGTCAAGTATTGATGACTGGCATGAAGCCTTTTTTTGTTTGTTTGTTATTATCCTGAAATAGTCTCCCACTTACAAAAAGGAAGTAGAGAGCTTTTTCTAAAAGATGTGAGAGAGAGAGAGTTGCCAGTCCCTACTTCCCCCTCAAAATCAGGTACTGGCATATATAGGAACCCACTCACCCCATTTTGGTTGAGCGGGTGTCTGGAATGTTGGCAGTTATGTGTGGCACTAGTCTCCTTATATTAGTCTGTGTTTGATTGTTAAGACCTTGACATTTTCAAGATTGCAGGTGGCCACTATGAGGATGTCCCTCCATCTGAGTTGTCTAATAGCTCCTTGTGATAAGTCAGATTCTCTGTTTTGAGTAGGAACAACTCAGAAATGATGCTATATCCCCATTTCATCCTCTCAGAGACACAATGTTTTGTCCCTTTGTTGAACACTTTGATTGCTTGGGTAAGGTGGTGTTGACTGAGCCTCTCCACAGTTACTTTTCCCTTTTTAATTCATATTTAACAGGGAGAAGCTTTGATATTATGTAAATATCCTGCTCTATATCAACTTCTCACTCCCTAATTTTGGCAGCCTTTTGTATTTTGGTGGAATCAGTTACAATTATGATAGCTAATCTCCCCATCTTAATATTATTAATTGGTATTCTTCTCCCATTAACTTATTGAGTGATTTGTATCATATAATGATTTGATGGGTTATAATATATTACAATTAGTATTTATTTTGATGCTCAAATTGTCTCAGATTTGGGCAATGGGAGCCCTTTGTAGGTAGCATCTTATGTTCTTTGGATAGGTCCTAACCGTTCTTTGAGTACTTCCTTACTTTCTGGTAAACCAAGATGTTCTGGGTTCTAGTCATATTTCCCCTGCTCCAGCCTTGGAGTCTGCAATTTCTCGAGGGAGCCCTTGGTTACTTCTAGCCAAGGATAATCTTTAGAATGGTCTTTAGACCATTGGGTGGCACTGGTTGTGCTCATTGTTCCTGGGGTATGCTGCTTCCAGGAGATGTTAGTGGATACAGCTAGGACATGTATGTGTTTATACAGATGCATATAGTTTCAAGTATGTTTATTTACTTACCTCTATATTGAAAACTATGAATTCAAACCCATATCTGCAGTTTGCACCCAACATCTTAGGGATAATGCTAGTTTTCTCCTTTTTTGTATTTGTAACCCATTTCTCCAATGAGATATCTGATTTCCATCACCTTCATTATGGTTACTTATTATCTGATCATTATCTCTTACTTTGTATATAAATGTTCTTTTCACCTCCTATGCTGATCCTCCTCCTGCCCCCAATACAAAAACGCATTTTGTACTTTGTTCTTCTTCCTGTCTTTTAATTAAGACTAATTAAGGAATAAGCAATCAACCTAGAATGTGTTATCCTTGGCTTTTTAAAAAATTGTTATTAATAATTATAGATTCATACATATTTATAAGAAATACAGAGCAATCCCTTATACACTTTAGTTTTCCCCAGTGGTAACATTTTTCAAAACAATAGTGCAATATCTGTGTTAGTCTTTTAGGGTTGTCAAAATTCCATATTACAGACTATGAGGGTTTAAATAATAAAAATTCATTTCATCACAATTTTGATGTCTAAAAGTTTGAGATCAAGGTACCTACAGGGTTGGTTTCTTCTGAGGTCTCTTTCCTTGGCTTGAAGATGGTACCTTCTTCTTTGTTTACATAGTTGTCCCTTTGTACATGTATGTGTCCTAATCTCCTCTTCATATAAGGTTGCCAGTCATATTGGATTAAGGCCTATCTATATGATCTCATTACCTTAATAACCTCTTTCAAGACCCATCTCCAAATACATTCATATTCTGAAGTGTCAGGGGTTAAGACATATGACTCTGGGTAGAGGACACAATTCAGCCTATAATAAATATCACAGCCAAGATATTGACATCAATTAAATCCATGGATCATATTTAGATTTATCCAGTTTTACTTGTGTACTCTTATGTATGTGTGTATGTTGAGTTCATCATCTGTGTAGGTTTCTGTATCCACCACCACAGTCAAGATATTGAATATTTCTAGCATCATGGGCATTCCTAGTATTGCCCTTTTATGACCATGCCAACTTTCTCCCTGCCCACCTAATCCTGACAACCACTAAAATGTCCTGTTTCTAAACTTTTATTTCAAAATATTATACAAGTAGAATTATATAGAATGTGACTTTTAGGATTGTCTTTTTTACCTATCATAATTCCTTGAAGAGTCGTCCAAGTGTTGTGTATCAGTAGTTTGTTTTTAATGCTGAGTAGTTCCTGTGGAACGGACATACAACAGTTTGTTTTCACATTATAATAACGACTGAGTTGTGTGGTAGTCACATGTCTGGTTGTTTTTATTTGTTTGTTTGTTTGCTTCATTGAAGTATATCTCTAACCCTTTTTATTTTTTATTTTGAGACAGGGTCTGGCTTAGCCCAGGTCGGCCTCAAACTTTGAAGGCTATCCAGCCTCAAACTTTTGAAGGATATATGACTGATTCCAAGTTTGGGCTATTGCAAATAAAGTTGCTACAAACATTATTACTCTGGTTTTTGTGTGAACATAAGTTTTTGTTTTACCAGGATAAACCCCTAAGACAATAATAACTAAGTTGTGTGGTAGCCACATGTTTAGTTTTTTTTGTTTGTTTCATGGAGGTATATCTCTAACACTTTTTTTTTTTTTGAGACAGGGTCTTGCTTGGTTGCCCAGGTCAGTCTCAAACTTGCCATCCTCCTACCTCAACCTCCCACGTCTCTGGGGGTAACAGGCATGTGCCACTGTGCCCAACACATATATTTTTATAAGAAACTCTGAAACTGTTTCCTAGCATGCCTGTAATATTTTATACTCTTACCAGCATGTATATATGATCTGGTTTCTCTACATCCTTGCCAACATTTCGTGTTTTGAGTATTTTGTATTATTGACATTCTGTTGGCTATGTACTGAGATGGGCAGGCTGGAGGGGGTACAGTTCAGTATTTTCCTTTCCATAGGTCAATTAAGTTCTAGGGAGTTATTTTCCTTAGGGCCTGAAAACAATATCCTCTGGGTGTCCTTCTATCTAGTCAACATTTTAGTTAGCATGGGCTGCTTCACAAAATACACTGAGTGACTTGAGCAACAGATGCTTATTTCTTACTGTTCTAGAGGCTGGAAGTCTGAGATCAAGGGACATTGGTCCTGGCTTCTCACCATGTCCTCACAAGGCTTAAAGAGAGAAATTTCTCTCTTGCTGTTTATAATTGCACTAATCATATTATATAAGAAGCCCACTTTTTAAAATTTTATTCTAATTTGTAATATGACAGCAGAATGCATTTCAATTTATATTACACAAAGCACAATTTTTCGTATCTTTGGTTGTTCACAAAGTGGAGTCACACCATTTGGGTCTTCATACATGTATTTAGGGTAATGATGTCCATCTCATTCCACCGTCTTTCCTACCCCTATGCCCCTTCCTTTTCCTTCCTTCCTTTTTGCTCTATCTAAAGTTCATCCATACCTCCCATGTTCCCCCCTACCATCCTGCCAATCTCCATTATGGATTAGCACCCTCATATCAGAGAAAACATTTGGCATTTGGTTTTTTGGAATTGGCTTATTTCACTTAGCTTAATATTCTCCACCTCCATCCATTTACCTGCAAATGCCATGATTTTATTCTCTTTTAATGGTGAGTAATATTTCATTATATATATACACCACATTTTCTTTATCCATTCATCTACTGTAGGGCTCTAGGTTGGTTCTACAATTTAGCTATTGTGAATTGCGCTGCTATAAACATTGATGTGGCTGTGTCCCTGTAGTATGCTGTTTTTAAGTCCTTTGGGTATAAACTGAGGAGTGGGATAGCTGAGTCAAATTGTGTTTCCATTCCAAGTTTTCCAAGGAATCTCCATACTGCTTTCCATATTGGCTGCACCAACTTACAGTCCCACCAACAATGTATGAGTGTGCCTTTTCCCCCACATCCTCGCCAACACTTATTGTTGTTTGTATTCTTAATAGCTGCCATTCTGACTGGAATGAGATGAAATCTTAGAGTAGTTTTGATTTGCACTTCTCTAATTGCTAGAGATGTTGAGTATTTTTTCATATATTTGTTGATTGATTGTATATCATCTTCTGAGAAGGATCTGTTCAGTTCTTGGCCCATTTATTGACTGGGTTATTTGGTTTTTTTTTTTTTTGGTGTTAAGATTTTTGAGTTCTTGATATATCCTGAAGATTAATGCTCTGTCTGATGTGTGTATGGTAAAAATTTGCTCCCATTCTGTAGGTTCTCTGTTTACCTCACTGATTGATTCTTTGGCTGAGAAGAACTTTTAATTTGAATCCATCCCATTTATTGATTCTTGATTTTAATTCTTGTGCTATAGGAGTCTTAAAAAGGAAGTTGGGGCCTAATTCGACATGATGGAGATTTAGGCCTACTTTTTTCTAGAAGCCCACTTTTGTGACCTCATTTAACCTAAATTATTTCCTGAAAGCCCCATCCCCAACCCTAAACACTGGCTTCAATGTGTGGATTTCAGAGAAACACAGTTTGAAGCAATCACTTTCCCCTGAGGAAGCCTGAAGGGATTTTTCTCTAATTTTAACTGTGAGAACCTGATAAGGCTTAGAGACATTGGAAGCTCCGTGACCGAGCCCCCACCCCTGGCACTCTAGCTCTCAGGTTAGCCCAGGCCTAGAGTCTCCAATATTTGCCTTTACAGATAAAGCTTTCTTATCAGTTTCCTGCTGAAGCCTTTTGCTCCAGATAAACTGATTGCATCTCTCCCAACACGGGTCTCTCCAGTTTTCAGAATGTTTGGTTTGTCCTGTGACTTCAGTTCTCTGAAGGATCTAAGATTTGCTGCTTTTCAGTTTGTTCAGCTTTTCCTTTTTTTTTTTTTTTTAAATACCTTTATTTATTTATTTTTATGTGGTGCTGAGGATTGAACCCAGTGCCTCACACTTGCAAGGCAAGTGCTCTGCAATTGAGCTACAACCCCAGCCCTATTTTTCAGCTTTTTCTTGTTGGCAGGATGGGAGTGATAATTTCTAAGCTCTTTACATGTGAGACCTGAAACCAGGAGTAGTATGTTTTTTATTTGAGCTTCTGTACATGCTGTGCCCATGTACAGAAAGAGAGTTGACTTTTTTGTGCTAATTTTGCATCCTGTGGCCTTGCTGAACTTGCTTATTCTAGGAGTTTCTTTGACGCCTTCTTCATCTCAAACCCTTGCTTTTGCCAAAGAAAAGTCCCTACAACTCATCTCTCGTGGTGCCTGCTCTTCTCACATGGCCAATGAAAACAGCTTCTGCCTCAATCCACTCGTAGAACAGCAGCTTGTCTTGGCTCCCAGCTCCCAGTGTTCATTTCCATGGTGAGCCTGTGGTAGCTTTGCTTGGGCCTTGCTCTAGTTTGATCCCCCCCCACCCCCCGCCCAAGGCCCATGAATTAAAGATTTATTCCACAGAGTGGCACTATTTGGAGGTGGTAGAATCTTTAAGAAGTGGGGCCTGGTCATTGAGGGTATGCTTCACAAAGGAACTGTGGGATGCCACCCCTTCCTTTTTCTCTGTCTTTGTTTCCTGAGGTAAGCATCTTTGTTCTACCATGTGCAAACCACCATGATGTATATTGCTATACCACATGACCCAAAGCCATAGGGTCAATTGGTCATGGACTGAAATCTCCAAAACTGTGAGCCAGAATAAGCCTTTTCTTTTTGTAAATTGATTATTTGAGGTATTGGTTACGTTTTTAAAAGGTGACTTACATAAGCCTCATGGAGGATAATGATGGATTCACTTAAGAACACTTACGGCTCTGCATTTGCTGAGGGTGGGCAGCCTCTTGTGGAAATGGTCCATGTAGGTCCTTCCTGGTTTCAGAGTAGCCACTCTGCCCTTTTCCTTCTCATGTTCCCTCTGTAAAATATTTATAAATGGGTTTATAAATAACCATTTGTCCTCTTTCCCAAAAAATTTTATTATGAAAACCTTTAAACATATATAAGTGGAAGTAGCATATACTGTTCACCTACCTACCACAACCTTAATTGTGGTAGGTAGGTGAACAGTATATGTTATTGGTGTACATGCTTTCAGTTCTCTGTTTACGTCTCCATGTTTCTTGTATCTATTCTTTGAACTATTTGAAGGTAGATTACAGATATCATGATACTTCTTTCCTAAATATTCATCAGGCGTTTTCTTTCTTTTTTTTAATATTTATTTACTTTTTAGTTGTGGTTGGACACAATATCTTTATTTTATTTATTTATTTTTATATGGTGCTGAGGATCGAACCCAGAGCCTCACATGTGCTAGACAAATGCTCTACCACTGAGCCACAACCCCAGCCCCTCATCAGGCGTTTTCTAAAAATATCTTCTAACTAACCACACTATTGATCTCACACTTAAGAAACTTAACTGTAACTATCGAACACCATCCAGAATTCAGACCACATTCACATTTTTCCACTTATTCAAAAATGGCTTACATAATAAAATCTTTGACCCTAGAATGCAGTTATGGCTGACACATTTTATTTAGCTATAAAATCAATTTGTTGGCATAAACTAACCACACAATTGTACTCATGGAACTTGTTGATCAGGGATTCAGACACAGGCACATCCCTGATGGTTTGTCCCTGCTGTGTGGTGTTGGGGCTGTGACTGGGAAGACTGGACACACAGGCTGATCATCTGGGGACTGCTTCTGAATGTGTTTGTTAACACAGGTCCTCTCTGTGAGACTGGGATCCTGATAGATAAAAGTCATTCCCCATCTTTCTCACTGAGTCCCCAGAGCCACATGGGCCCATGTTCAAGTGGGCCATTACTGCAGAAGAGGATATGAGTGGCAGGTGCTACCAGGGGACATCTGTGCAAATATAGTCCACCCAAGCATCTCATTAATCTTTTTGACCCATATCTCCAGTTTTTTCTCATGCTTTTTGAAGAGACTAGCTGGTTGTCTCTGGCACCATCATAATATGGTAATCTACATTCTGGATTACCAGGGTGCTTCCTAAGAGGTAGTTTAGTCTGGTCCTATGTCACATGTTTGTTTTATAAACTGGAAATTAGACCTAAAATCTTGATCAGATTGAGAGCAGTTATCTTTGACACAAATATCCCTTTATTTCAACCTGTGCTCAGGAGGTAGCTGCTGATATATCAGCTTCTGCAGTAAAAGCTAACTGGAGGCAAGTTAGAGGTTAAAGAAAATGATCATCGTAAACATCTGTCACCAGAGGCAGATGACATCTACACCTCCTGACACAAAGCCCAGAGAAGTTACAGCATCATCTATGTAGCACCTGGCCAAGAACACATCACATGAGACAACAGGAAGCATCAGACAAACACTAAATAAAAAACTATTAAAATGGAGGAGGAATCGTATTTGACAAAAATGTCAATAACAAAAAGACCTTTAAAAGACTATGGAAACATCCCACATTCAAGAAGGCCAAGACATCATAGATGAGACACCTTCTGACCCTGTACTGAGGAAGGGGTGCTATAAAGGACATCACTGGGCCAGTTGTTGAAACTGGAATGTGTGTGGGACATCCAGGTTACCACGTGAGAGAGTACTTCTCTTAATAGGAAACTTGCTGCAGGACTGGGATGGGAGAAGAAAACAACCTGTATATGTGTGTGCATTCGCACGTGTACACTTGTATACACATGTGATAGCGCAAATGGCAGAGCAGCTGGGGAGGATGCTGTCATTGGGGAGTCTGACTGAAGGGTGTGTGAATTTTCCTTGTAATGTTCTTGAAATTGGCCTGTACATTTTAAATTCGTTCCAAAGACTTTAAATACTAAAGTTGAGTAGAAAATGATTAACTAGTTAGTTTATTTTTATTTATTTTTGGAAAGGATGACTTTTATTTCTATCCTAAATGATTATCATACATACCATTATTTAAACATAGTCCTGAAAAAACATAGTCCAAAAAAGTCCTGAAATAATTTAAACTGAAGGCATAGAACAAATCAAAATATTTAACTGTAAAAGATTAAATAAGAAAATGCAAATATTTCCACAGTAGCAATAAATTATGAACAAGTTTCCATCACCAAATATCATTCTGACCAAGAGCTCTTTTCTCATGAAATCTATAGCTTAAGCTGATTCTGAGATTTCCATGATAAAAATAATATTGAAAAACAATCTTCTTCCTAAAGACTTATTAGAGCACCAGGTCCAATATAAGTATTTTATATATAACAAAGTAGCAGTTATGATAGTTGTTGATGGATGGCCTTTCCCCAAGAAATGATACATTCTTACAAACTGTTTAAAAAAAAAAAAAACAGCAAAGTTGGTTACAAAATTCTATTTGGGAAGCAGGAAAAAACTTGTTCCATATCAATTAGAATATCAAAGCACTTTATTATCAAATTGCTTCAAAAGCCAGTCATCACATAACAGTAATATGCTGCATGGGGAATTCCACTATATCATGGTGACATGTTGACCATAAAGTGCATTAAGGGATTGAACAAATCAGTAGCAATTACTGTCACCAATTTTTATTTATTCCAAAGAGATATGTTTTTTAAAAATCATTATAAAACTAACTGGAATAATCAGTGACATGCTACAGATACAATAAACCCCTCCAATGCAATAGCTAAGTTTGAAAATAAAGTGGTCATGCTTCTTAATATATTGTGATATTTTGAAATACATTCTCTGGTTATCAATACCATTATTATAGAGGTCACTTATAAATTAGCTCAGTTTCTGAACTAGGTTTTCTAACTGAAACTTTTTTCAAGTTTATTTATATTAGGAATTGAAGAAAGATTCCATTTCTATTGATGAAATCAAGGCTATCCTTAGAGGACAAGATGAATGTACATCAGTATTGAAAATCAATTTTTACCAAAAATATCAAAAATCCAGACAGAACTACCCAGAACTTAAGACATGGTAGCAACATCTTCACCCTCAGTCCTAAAGTTCTAGAGAAGGGATGAGGTGAGATTAATTCAGAGAAGAACTTGAGAACACCATAGAGACTCACTAACCTTGCATGAGTCCATACTGAAGCAACTTCAAGGTTCCACTGTGTGCTAATTAAACCCACAAAAACAAAATGGTGTCAGCCTAGATCTGGGGAGATTATGTGTGTACTGATAGTAGTGCTTCAGAGGATGCTGCTTAGCTGCCAACACTCCTCAAAACTGACTGTTGTCAAAAAATCAAATAAGAAAAACTGGACTGTAAGAAGATAGTTATGACCCCCTCCAAAAAAAAACCCCAAAAACAAGAATAGCTGAAATTACCTTGGTAAAAGACTGTAAGACCAACTTTTAGGTATGTTTTGGTGCCTGGTGCCTTTACTCATTTACCCCATGTGTTTGCTGTACACCCACTACCCACTGAGCAATGGCCACTGAGAGAAAGCAAAATGTACTGTGTGGTGGCTATGCTCCTGCTAGAAGCTGTGCTTATGTCTCCAGTGATAGAGACCAAAGGAGGATTATGAAGAGATTTTTACACTTCAAGATTAATTAGTTTTTTTAAAACTTTAAATTGCTTTAAATATGTTAGAAGTAGCCATGGACCAAATGAAGAAGACGTGGAAGTTCTTCAGAATGGTAGTTTCAGTGGTCATGGCACACAACCACCTCTGGTGGCCTAAGTGTGTCTCACTTCTAGGTGACAGAGCAGGGCTTCTGGTCCTAAGCACCCCCAATACTGAGGCCGGACCATCTTCGGCTCTGTGGGACATCCAGTGCCAGATGCCACTGGCTTCCCCTTCTTCTGATTGGGACCACTAGAATGATCTAAATTGAGCTACTGGTTTAAAAGCATTTGTTTTAATGTATTTTAACCTTTTTTTTTTTTTCCTGTAGATTCAGAAATACAAAGATGAATTGTCACAGCTCAACTGTAGAGTCCTTCAGCTGGAAGGAGATGCTTCTACACATCAGGCCCTAAAGGAGAAGAATCACATTGCCATTCAGCTGTTAAGGCAGAGGCTGGAGGAGGCAAGGCGCCGGGAGGAGCAGCAGGTGAGTGGACTAAGGCAGCACCATCAAGGTCCTGCCCTGCAGCCAGGCAATCAATAGGAAGCCAGGCAATGGAGACTCAGCCACAAACAGGTCAATAAACCCTGATGTCTTGGAGGTGGGTGCCCTAGCAGTGAGATGAGGAGCTTCCTAAGCCCTAGAGAAGTGGGTAGACTTGAGCAGCTTTGGCACATCATCAGGATCCAGAAAGAGTAGAGGGTAGTCTGGCAAATTATGCCTCGAGAGCCTCAGGAATGACTCTGATTTGAGTTCATAATCATGCTTATAGAAATTACAGCTAAGAACATTATGGGAAATTTAACTGGAAGAATTCTCATTGCTGTGGTATTTATTATAGCAAAATAGACTGGAGTCGGTTTGAATCATCACACCAGATTTTTTTAAAAAATATTTTTAGTTGTGAATGGACACAATGCATTTATTTATTTATTTATGTGGTGCTGAGCATCGAACCCAGTGTCTCACACATGCTAGGCAAGTGCTCTACCACTGAGCCACGACCCCAGCCCCCCCCAAAAAAGATTCTTATAACACTTGATGTCTTGGGAAAACAGTCCAGTTACACTAAGGAGGACAGCACTATGCTCTCTCTTACTGAAATATCTTATTGATAATATGTGTGTAGAAGAGGGATTGAAGGAGTCATGACAGCATGTCAGGTGTGGGCCTGGCTCAAGGGATCGTGGGGGGGGGGGGTTTAAATTTGTAACATTTCTTTTCTGTAATTTTCTGAAGTTTCTACATTCAACATGTATTAGATTGCTAAGATATTTCTTATACTTGTAATTTTTTCTTTTTAATCAGGATAACCAAATCAAAAAACTTGAAGTTGAACTTCAACACGTGAATCAGGAATGTCAGAATCTGAGGCTGTCACAGTCAGAGCTGAAAGTGAGCCTTGAAGAAAGTCAAGAACAGGTGTGTGTGGCAGTCAGAAATACTTGATATAGTCCCAGCCTGAAAGGAACATCAACAAAATGCTGATGAACAGCATCGCCACGCCTAGTTGAGCCCAGAGAAGTTATTAGGCAGCCTGAGGTCATACAGCTAGTAAGGGATTTAACATGTCTAGGACTCTAGCTGGTTCCTTTCTTTTCACCATGCCTCACATGTGATCCCTGATGGAGCCATGGTCCTTACTCCTGTCGTGGATCTCAGAGATGAAGCAAGGGTGAACTGTGTTCTAGATGAAACCTCAGCAAACCAGTTTTAAGTTGTGTTTAGACCTTATCTCAGTTGCCTGAAGGAGTTGGCTAAGTTATGCAGTTAATCACATTCTGTGACCTCCAGCCAGAGCTGTGCCTCAGAAGTGTGAACTCCTCATTTAAAGAAGGATTAGCATGCGTGGCTTGCATGGGTTATACTGCTCCTGTGTAGCAGGCTTCGAAGATGCTGGATGGGACAGACCTGATCCTTCCATAGATCCATCATGAAATCCTAGTACCATCTTGCTGAGGATGACAGGCATAAGTTTTCATGACACGTGGCGAAGCTCTAACTAATGGGAGCTTGGCTCTCTGAATTCCTAGGTGTTGCAGCATACTCAGGGACCACAAAGAAGGGGGAGTAGGCCCTCCTGCCCTTTCAGTTGTGGGGTATCCTTAAATGCAGAGACTAACTCACCAATGCTTTCGCTTCTGTGTCTGCTAATGACTCTGAACCCTTAGTCATACTACAACCGTTGTTACTTCTCTCCATGTAGTTACACAGCGCCCATCTGAGGCTGAAGGCAGCCCAATCCCAGCATGCACAGGAGGTTCAGCACCTGCAGGAGCAGAAGAGCCAGCTGGTGCCTAGGGCCCGTGTGACTGAGCTGCAGCACCTACTCAGCGTCCAAGAAAAGGAGGCTGGGAGACTACTGGATGCACAGAGAGTGAGTGGGGGCACCACACTCTGAGCTAGCTATTTTGGGAGAAGGTTCTGAAGGCCAGCTGATGGAATGGCAGAGTATGCTTGGATTACTGGTCCTTAGTTAACCAAAAACTGCCCAACTGTAAAGCCCAAGGCCCAGGAGTGGGTGGCTCTATGGCCAGTTCCAGCAACTTGAAGGCTAGTTGTAGAGAAGCTGTGAGCTTCCATTCCTTACCGTAACAAAGAGACTCTCTAAGCCTGTGTTGAAGATAGCTCAGGGAGAGGAGGGGATCCTCTCAGGAGTATACAGAAAGGAGTTAGCTGACCCTAAAGGCTACTTCAACCCATCTAAGTCAGGGATCATCTGTGGGAACTCACTTTGGAGTCATTTATAATTAAAATTCTAGGGGAACTCACTTTGGAGTCATTTATAATTAAAATTCTAGGACCAGGTCTTTGAAGACAAAGTAATCAATAGATTCTCTCTGGACTACAAAGAGAGGTGGTCAGTTGGTGGCCCTTTGCAGACATATTTAAACTACTACTCTACAGAGTAGTAGGAAGGTCATCTACAGTCACGCTTAGATTTGTACATTTTTAGCCAATTTAAATAAGTCCTGAGATGATTCTGTTTTAAATGTAAATACTGGTGTGTAACCTTCTGTGGCAGGAAGAACATGAAAGGCAGATGAAAACCAAGGAAGGGCAGGCCAAAGAGGCAGAGATGTGCTTGCAGAATGTAGAATGGCTCCTACAAGAGAAGGTGGATGAGCTGAGAGAACAAGTGAGTTTCAATGCTTCTTATCATTTCCCTCAGTCCTTCCCCCCTCACACATTTTTATTGGTGCATTATAAACTATACATAATAGTGGGATTCATTGCTGTACAAACATATAACAGTGAGGGCAACATAAAAATATAATTTGGCCAATACCTTTTTTTTACTTCAATAAAATAATTTTTACTTTTTTTAATTTGTTCTAATTAGTTATATATGACAGTAGAATGCACTTTGACACATCATACATAAATGGTATATAATTTCTCATTCTTCTGGTTGTACATGATGTAGAATCATACTGGTCATGCAGTCATGTATGTACACAGGGTAATAATGTCAGATACATTCTACTATCCTTTATACTCCCATACCCCCTCCCCTCTCTTCAATCCCCATTACCTAATTCATAGTAATTCTGTTCTTCCCTAGCCTGCCCCCCTTATTGTAAATTAGCATCCACATAGCAGAGAAAACATTCAGCCTTTGTTTTTTGGGAATTGGCTTATTTCGCTTAGCATGATATTCTCCAGCTCCATTCCATTTAACAGCAAATGCTATCATTTCATTCTTCTTTAAGCTGAGTAATTATCCATTGTGTATATACACCACATTTTCTTTATCTATTAATCTACTGGACATCTAGGTTGGTTCCACAGTTTAGCTATTGTGAATTGAGCTTCTATGAACATTGATGTGGCTGCATCACTATAGTATGCTGATTTTAAGTCCTTTGGGTATAAACCAAGGAGTGGGAAAGCTGGGTCAAGTGGTGGTTCCATCCCAAGGTTTCTGAGGAATCTCCATACCACTTTCTTTTTTAAAAAATTTTTTTTTCATTTCCTTCATAGCATTTATTCAGTGTCTGAAATCATATAATTGATTAGCTTACTTATTACCTGCATTCACCTGAATGTAGGCTCCAATGGAAAGGGTAAATGGTTCAGCTACAATTATTGAGGAGAGGATAACAGAAGAGCATAGATTCAATTCATTGAAAACAAAACGTTAACATGCTGAGTGTGTTGGCACAGGCCTAGAATTCCAGCAACTCAGGGGGCCGAGGCAGGAAAATTATAAATTCAAGGCCAGTCTGGGCAACTTAGTGAAGCCCTTCCTAAAAAAAAAAAGCGGGGGGTTGGCGGGGGTTGGACCATGATATAACTTGATGGCAGTGTGCTTGCCTCACATTCTGGAGGCTCTTGGTTCAATCCCCAGCACAGGAAAAAAACAACGTGAACATTACTTTGTGCCTAAAAGAAGAGTCAGGAGACTGGAGAGAAAAAGTTTCTGTCCTCTTGATTTTAATACTCTAACAAGCTATATTTCTTATATTTTTAAAAAATTAAATCATACAAATCAAACTTTCAGACTGAATGAAGTTCACTATACTTTTAAGAGCAAACACTGGCTCTGCTATTTCTTTTTATTAAGTCATGGAATAAGTTACTTTACTTCTGAGTCTCAGTTTTTGACCTGAGTTTTGACCATACCACTTTCCATAGTGGTAGCATCAATTTGCAGTCCCACCAGCAATGTATGAGTGTACCTTTTCCCCCACATCCTCGCCAACATTTATTTTTACTTGTATTCTTGATAACTGCCGTTCTGACCAGACTGAGATGAAGTCTCAGTTTTTTTTTTTTTTTTAATTTTAATATTTATTTTTTAGTTTTCGGAGGACACAACATCTTTGTTTGTATGTGGTGCTGAGGATCGAACCTGGGCCACATGCATGCCAGGCGAGCGCACTACCGCTTGAGCCACATCCCCAGCCCAAAGTCTCAGTTTTTATTTGCACTTCTCTAATTGCTAGAGGTGTTGAACATTTTTCATATATTTATTGATTGATTGTGTATCATCTTCTGTGAAGTGTCTGTTCAGTTCCTTTGCCCATTTATTGATTGGGTTATTTATTTATTTATTTATTTATTTTTGGTGTTAAGTTTTTTGAGTTCTTTATATATCCTGGAGATTAATGCTCATATCCTGGAGATTAAAGCTCTATCTGAGGTGCATGTGGTAAAAATTTTCTCCCATTCTGTAGGCTCTCTCTTCACATTATTGTTTCCTTTGCTGAGAAGCAGCTTTTTAGTTGGAATCCATCCCTTATATTGATTCTCGATTTTACTTCTTTAGGAGTCTTATTAAGGAAGTCAGATCCTAGGCTGACATGGTGAGGATCGGGGCCTACTTTTTTTCCTATTAGGTGCAGGGTCTCTGTTCTTTTTTTTTTTTTTTATTGATTGTTCAAAACATTACAGAGCTCAAGACATATCATCTTTCATACATTCGACTCAATTGGGTTTTGAACTCCCCAAATACATAATACAGACTCACTTCTGTTACATACTCAAGGGTCTCTGTTCTAGTGCCTATGATTCTCTTTGAGTTGAGTTTCATGCAGGCTGATACATAAGGGTTTAATTTCATTTTGTTACATGTGGATTTCCAGTTTTCCCAGCACCATTTGTTGAATAGGCTATCTTTTCTCCAATCAATGTTTTTGGCGCATTTGTCTAGTGATAGATAACTGTATATATGTGGGTTTGTCTCCGTTTCTTCTATGCTGTACTACTGGTCTACATGTCTGTTTCAGCACAATTTTCCCTTTTACGTTCAGCATCTAACCCAGAAAAAGCCTGTCTTCACAGAATCCAAAGAACCCCATTCCTATTTTGATTCTATGGCTCATCTAAACTTCAGTTGGCGGATGTACAAATCATTTTCAGTAGATAAAAAAGTAAAAGTAATCTGTAGATTAATTTTGCTAAATACATACCCATGCTATATTTTTACATCATGTGTTTTCTTTTGGGAATTGTTTCAAGATCTCTTTTTGAGATGTTCACACCAAAAAAGGACATCATTTGTTCATTTATTGGTTCATTTTTCTTTTTTATTTTTCTTTTGGTACCAAGGATTGAACCCAGGGGTGCTCAACCATTGAGCAACATCCTCAGCCCATTTTTTATATTTCATCTAGAGATGGAGTTTTGCCAAGTTACTCAGTGCCTCAATTGGCTTTGAATTCGAAATCCTCCCACCTCAGCCTCACAAGCCACTGGGATTATAGGCATGCACCACTGCACCTGGCTTGTTGATTCATTCTTTCAGAAGATGCCCTCTGGCACTTACTGTTGGCTAAGGTTTCACTCTAGGCAGACCTGGGGTACCTCAGGGACCTTTGATCCGGAGGTGACAGAAGCCTCCAGATAGTACAAGTGACCTGAGCCATGGTCACATTTTGAGAAAGAGAATGAGGAGATGGAGAGATGTGGGTGTGGTAGGCAGGACCACTCTGAGTAGTGGCATTGGGCCAGACACCCAGTGACCCAGCATGGGTAGGTCTAGATGCGTCCCTGGCAGAAGACAGGTGGACTTTGGAAGTCTCCCTTGCCTACTAGGTGCAACTTTCCTGTGCATTAGGAGTTATCCTCCAAGTTACATGGGAGTGTGAAAAGACACATACATCCCCATGTGCTAGGACTTTGAGGAGGTGCTTTGAGGCAGGAAAACCCAGGCAAATGTCTTTAGACTGGGACCAAGCATGATATCTTTGAAAGCCCAAGAGGTGATCACTGGGGATGGTGTGAATTCACTGGGGTGGCATTACAGGGAGACAGAGCCTGTCATTTCTGTAGGCCAGAGTCAGAAGTTTGGGTTTTATTTTAATTGTTAGAAGCCACTGGAAGGTTTTAAGTAAAGGAAATTTTTTGTTTGTTTGTTTGTGGGATCGAACCCAGGACCTTGTGCACTCAAGGCAAGCACTCTACCAAACTGAACCATATCCCCAGCCCAGAAAGGTTTTGTTTGTTTGTTTGTTTGTTTTTTAAGTAAGGAAGGTTTTAAGTACAAAAGGTTTTAAGGTTTTCAGTCAGATAACACCAGGGAAAAGTAATATGGGCTGTTCTCAGGAGCAAAGATATTAAAGGGGGGGGGCAGCCATAGCTCCCCTGATCTATAAAAGTTTATAATGTGATGGTGGTTGGCAACATGCCCAGGGTGGCAACAGTGCAACAGCATGGTGTGGCACGTTGGTGGAGGCAAGGCCCCAGCACTGCAGGAGCCGAATGAACTGGGACAATGAGGTTAGACACCAGCTGGGTATATGCCACTATCTCCATTCACTGCTTCAAGAAATTAAAGGAGATGTGAAAATCTGGAAAAAATATTTTTTCACTAGCAATTGAGTATAGTTTGATTTACCAGAGTGATCCTGAGCTGATTCAAATTGGGTGAGACATTTGGACCTTTTTCTTCTGAGTCTTGATTATTTGGAAGGTTCCCATTGTAGTCACCCTGATTGAGATCATCTTCCTTAATACCTACCCTTCCCTGCCAGTGCAGTCCACTGTCCCTCCCACTGTTATCTCACTCACCTGCTCTGGTGACACACTTTTCCAGTTACTACCTCAGTTTGTCCTTGCTCCTGGAAAACCTTAATTCTTGTTAAATCCCGTGACTCCTGCCCACCTACCCCTGTCCCATAGGCCCTATGCTAGCTCCTCCATGGCTTGCACCCCTCCTTCCTGAGAAACCCCTCCCCTCTACCTCCTCTCTGACCCCTGGCTCCTGTAACCTCTGTGGTTTTGCTGCTTATTTCACCTGAGACCAGACTCTCCAGGGAGAACCTGCTAGCATTCTGACATCTTGTCACCCATGTCCTGCGTCCTCCACCTCCTCTCTGGCCACTACCTCCACAGCTGCTCTTTCCTGGTACCCTCACTGCCACTAGGAAACAAATCTTATAGCTCCCTATCTTCCCCAGCCCTACCAGTTCTCCTCTCCTCTTGAGTTTGTGAACCTGTCACTCCCTCCCTGATTCACACCTAATTCCTGGAGACACCCTCAAAGTAGACACTGAGTCTAACCACAATTCACTTCATCTCTGGCATTCTGACTGGTTTCCTGTGTCCTCCACCAGTCAGCTCTCAGCACATCTTTTAAAACATGAATTTCATCCAGTCCTCAGAACCAGCCTTCCCATGTCTCCCAAGTAAAAAATACAGTTTTTATAATAGCATCTGAAGTCCCAGAGTTCCCTCCCTTTTCCCTCTCTCCTCCCCTTGTCTGCCTCTGGCTACACATGTCCCTCTAGCCACAGTTCACCCCATCTACATGCCAGCCGCGGGGCTTATTCTTCCCTCTGCCTGCGGGGTCCACACCTAATGATTTGCTCCCTGGTTTTGTTCACATCTCTTATTCAGATATCCTCAGAAATGTGGTTTACCCCACCCAAAATGAAACATGCGAAGCCCACCCCCAGCTATCTGTCCACTGCTGGGTTCCTTAGCAAATGCATGCTTCTGCCTTCTCCTGTTAGAATACATGCTCCATGAGAACAGGGATGTTGCTAGAATAGTGTGCACACATGGGGGTGTGTAGTAACTACTTGTTAAGTGAACAGATTCCATGTGGGGTTCACAAAGCCCAACACTCAGCCCTGAGCCTTTGTGTCTCAGGAAAGATCATGGAAGGGCTGCTGACTTGAACAGCCTGGGTCCACCTCTGAAGCCTGTCCTGCTCACACACACAGCTACAAGGGAGAATGCAGTGCCTCCATGTGTCCTGTGTGACATCACAGGCAGCATAGCACCCGAGACAAATCAAACATTTTTGGCAATCTTGAAGATTTTATTTCACACTGCATTAAAATAAGAGGGCTTTTTTTTTTTTTTTTTTTTTTTTTTTTTTTTTTTTGAGTCCCGATTTTGGTCTTTTTAAGTCTTTATTTCATGGTTAAAAAAAAAGATTCTTCAATTATCCACCACATGATTCAGCATATTCTCAATTTCCTCCCTCAGGCCAGGGAACAAATATACTATATCTAATATTTGCATCACATCTGTAAGAACCCAAAATTATGCTTGGAACAGAGATGAAAGGATAAGAGGGAGCAGGCTTGTTTGTGTAACTTTTCTGCACTGGATTCACAGTAAAGCATGGCTTTTTCTTCTCTCTAGTTCAAAAAGAACACTAAATCTGATCTGCTGCTCAAGGAACTCTATGTGGAAAATGCTCACCTCATGAAGGCTCTTCAGGTCACAGAAGAGAAGCAACGAGGTGCTGAGAGCAAAAACCGCATTTTGGAAGAAAAAGTCCATGCTCTCAACAAACTTATCAATAAGATTGCCCTAGCATCCCTCTCTGTGTAAATACTGCTGGTTTCCTAGAATTCATTCTAAGGAATGTTTTGTTTCTGTTTTTGCAGTACTGGGGATTGAACCAAGGGGTGCTCTATCACTGAAATACATCTCCAGCCCTTTTAAAGAATTTTTAATTTTTTTTTTTTTTTGATATAGGGTTTAAATTGCTCAGGCTGGCCTGGAACTTGGGATCTCCTATCTCACCCTCCCAAGTACAATAACAGGGATTATAGGCCTGGGCCATTACACCCAGCTTCAAGAACATCTTTTAAAATTAAACCACTCTGATTCCATAATTTGCTATGGTTCATCATCTGTGCACCCTCAGAAACTAAGGATTGTAATTCTTCACCCCTAAATTAACGAATGTCCACTATGTGCCAGATGCTGGAAAAATATGCTGGCGCAATAGAGAATGTTTTGTATTAGCTATCAGGAATAATTTCCAGTCTTGTTACATACTAATGAAACAGATTTTGGGGGTTCTCAGCAAAGAACAGCTAAGAGAGTTGTTAAATTTTCAGTGTTTAACCTTTGGCAAAGGTTATTTCTGGGGGCTTAGATCATTAAAGCACTTGATGATTGGTCTATACACACATTCCAGAAAGGCTTCTGTTGCTGAGAACGGTCAACCAGCAATACAGGAGGGGACAGAAACCCTGCAGGTACTGCTCCCTTTGAGGGTAAGTCTGGGAAGAGCCTAAGTTCTGTTGACTCAGGGATGATCATGTTTATTGCAAATGCAATCTTTTCTTCCTTGAAATGTCATCACACTGGAAATTGTACCTATGTAAAAAAAGTATAGTTTTCTATCTGAAATATACATAAATTATGGCCATTTGGTTTATCAAAATGTACTACTGTAATATGAAGTCACTGTATTTACAATAAATTCTTTTCTATTAAAATTGTTTTTTAAAATTTTCAAACATAGAAAATCATTTCATAAGAAGCACCCATGTGCACATCAACTAGATGTATTTGAGGTAACTTTCTGCTACAACCTTTTAGAATAGAGGTGGAAAGCTAGGTCTTTCTTTTTTTTTTTTTAAGAGAGAGAGAGAGAGAGCTTTTTAATATTTATTTTCTAGTTCTTGGTGGACACAACATCTTTGTTTGTTTGTGGTGCTGAGAAATTGAACCTGGGCTGCATGCATGCCAGGCAAACGCGCTACCGCTTGAGCCACATCCCCAGCCCTGAAAGCTAGGTCTTTCATTCTTGATCTTCTTCCCTCGGGGCAGCCACCATCCTGATGCTGGCATGCCACCTCTTCTTTTGGCACTTACTATAAATGTTACAGAATAAAAATTTGATAGCATTATGGAAGGACTCAAAAGATTTTGAAAATTGTTTTAAAACTGTAAACTGGTGATAGAATGCAACTTCTCGTTTTGTTTTAATAATGGGTATTCAGGCTGGCCTCAAACTTGTAGTTCTCCTGCCTTAGCCTCCTGAGTCGTTAGGATTCCAGATGTGTGCCACCACACCTGGTGGTTAGAATGGAACTTCTTCCATACTGATGAAAGGCATCTACAAAAACTTTAAAAGCTTACATTATACTTAATGATAAAAGACTGAAAGCCTTCCACTTGGTGATCAGGATTAAGATGTGTGTTCTCGGGGCTGAGGATGTGGCTCAAGTGGTAGCGCACTCGTCTGGCATGCATGCGGCCCGGGTTCGATCCTCAGCACCACATACAAAGAAAGATGTTGTGTCTGCCAAATACTAAAAAATAAATACTAAAATTCTCTCTCTCTCTCTCTCTCTCTCACTGTCTCTCACTCTCTCTTTAAAAAAAAAAAAAAAAGATGTGTGTTCTCTACTTTTATTCAACACTCTACTGGTGGCTCTAATTAGTACAATCAGGCAAGAAGAAGAAATAAATGTATTTTGATTACAAAGGAAGGAGTAAAAACTTTCATAAGAAAACATGACTGTGGATGTGGAAAATGATCTACAAAAAAAAGCTATGAAAGTAAATAAATTTAGCAAGACAGCAGGATACAAACCCATCAATTTTCTTTCTGTTTACTAACAATTAGAATCTGAAATTTAAAATACTGTTCCAAAACTAAGTAATACTAAACCTGTAAACTGAAAACTACAAATTATTGAGAGAAATGGAAGACAGAAATAATTGGAAAGAAATCTTTATTTCTGGATCAAAAGAGTTGTTAAGATACCAGCTCACAAATCAGAACAGATCTCAGGGTCCAGAAATAAACCTGTATATACACAATTTTTAAAAAAGATGCAAAGGTAATAGAACACAGAAAGAATAGCCTTTTTAACAAATGGCGCTGTTAAAGTTGGATCTATAGGACCTGGAAAGGAAAACAAAAGTGAACTTGGAAGCATACCTTGTAGCATAAACAAAAAGTAACTCAAAATGGATCATAGACCTAAGTGTAAAACTTAAAAACTATAACTCCTGGGCATTCTTATACAGATGAAAAAAGGAAATAAATTGTGACCTTAGTGGGAAGAGTTCAACAGATGCAACACTAAATAATAAACAGATGGGATTTAACCAAAATTTTTAAAAGTTTACTCTTGCCAGGGACAGTGGTACACATCTGTAATCCCAATCACTCAGGAAACTGAGGCAAGAGGATCACAAATTCCAGGCCAGCCTGATCAACTCAGTGAGACTCTGTCTCAAAAAGAGAATGAGGATGTGGCTCAGTGGTTTAGGTGCCTGAGTAGAATACACAAGACCTTAGATTCAATCCTCAGCACCTGGGGGTCGGGGAGAACAGAATGCGCACCCACTCATTTCACATAAGAATACTGACACCAAACCTGGGTCTGGTGACCACTGTGTTCCAGCTTCATGTGGTTTGCATGGTCCTTTAATTGAACCTGAGTAGTCTATGACTGTGCTAATGGAATGTAGCACCACGCCCAGCCTTCCAAAAAACAGCTCCCACTTCCACTGTCTAAATTGTGAGGACCTTGAGCTGCCAGGTGAAACCTGCCACTTTTGAGAACAATATGAGATCACACAGATAAAGTGAGCCATCCCAGCCAGGCCACCATCAGAAGGCAATCTTGCAAGCAAGTTCTGTAGAACTGCCAAGCTGAGCCCACTCAAGTCACAGAAATGTGAGAAAATAAAATAATGTGGTTTAAAGCCACCACATTTCAGGCGATTTGTTTCAAAGGAAGAGATAACTCAAAACACTGACAAGGGCCGGGCACAGTGGAACACACTGGTAATCCAATTGCTTGGGAGGCTAAAGCAGGAGGATCATGATTTCAAAGCCAGCCTCAGCAACTTAGCAAGGCCTTAAGTAACTCAGTGAGACACTGTCTCTACATAAAATATTTTAAAAAGGCTGTGGATGAGGCTCAGTACTTCTGGGTTCAATCCTCAGTACCTAAAAAAAAAAAAAAAAAACAAGGCATAGACATACACACCCACGAATATAGTTCCATTCACTTTACAAACAAAAACTTGAAAACAAATGACAAAACAAATAGGATTGTACTCCACCTACAGTACAGCTAATAATGGCTACACAAGATGGTTAATATTTAATGAAAAAAGGAAACTTAACCTACTATTTTTCTTTCTTTCTTGTTTTTTGTGGTGCTGAGATTTGAACCACTGAGCTATATCCTCAGCCCTTATCTTCGATTTTCTACATTGTACTGTTTTTACTTTTTTTAACCTCTATACATATTACCTTTAGAAGAAAAAAATGATTTATGTTTAAAATTCCAGTCACAATTACAGAGAGTCTGTCAATATAAATTGATACAAATACCACAATTTTGAATTTTCAACTGATATTCATTAATTTCATATAAGGACTCAGGCTGGGTGGCTAACCCCCTATTTTGAGATGGTGAGTCGAGCATCAGTCTTACTGCTTTAGAAAGAGACATAGAAATTGGGGCTATAAAAGGGAAATTTGCTGGAAATAGCATTATCCATAGTGTCCTTCCTCTCTTCTTCCCAAATAATCATACAATGAATTAGTATGCCATTACATTATTACAGATCTTGACATTTTATTTTTCGAAAATCATCTTTATTCAAGTGATTTAGAAACATGTATTCCAGAAATTTGGACCCCTGGCATACAAAATACATATTACCTGAAAACACTCAAGATTCATAAGGATTTGCCTTCTATCTATACAGCCATGAAACTCCCTTTATTTTAAAGAGATTCAAACTTATGAATATTTATTTATTTTCATTTATAAAAACATACTGTAACAAAAATGAGAATGTTTTGATTATAGAAAGAACTTTAAAAAAAAAAATTTTTTCAGGGGAGTTACCAGGGATTCAACCCATAGGCACTTTATCACTGAACCACTGAACCAAACCACATCCATAGTCTCACTAAATTGCTTAGGGCCTCACTAAGTTGCTGAGGCTAGCCTTGAACTTGTAATCCTCCTTCCTCAGCCTCCTGAGTAGCTGGGTTTACAGGCGTGTGCCACCACCTATGGCCAGATACAGCTTTTTTCCAGAAAGGAGCAGAAGGAATGGTATATACACAGAAACAAAGGTCCTTAATACACCTTGGCCAACTATTCCTTTTTTCCTTTTTTTAAATACATTTTAGGTATTGGGAATGGAACCCAGGACCTCCCATGTATGGGACAAGCATTCTACCATTAAACAAACCCCAGTTCTTTTTGGTTATCTTACAGTTATCTGTAAATTTTAAATCCAAGAGGGAGGTGCAGGGAGGAGCAGTTAAAGTATAGACATTTTTGTGGAATGTGTTCAGCCTCATCCTTGGCAAAGCCTCCCCATGTGGTCACCATGAGCCGCAGTCATGACAAGACACAGTTACGACAAGACATGCTCCAGAACTCCTTGTCTGATCAACTGCTCACACTTCCATCGAGGCAAAAAGTGCTACAGAGGAAAGGGAGTAAAAGGAAGAAGAATAAGAAAAGTGACTTGAGAAAAAATTTTAAATTACATTTTTTAAGTAGTACTCTTGATATATATTTATTCTCATAAATGCCTTTCCAATTACATTTTGCATCATTAAAATGCAGCAGTTGATTATGTTTTGAAAGCTAAGTAATGAAAAGCTAAACTTTATTTGTTGTTATAATCAACTAAAATTGATACCACTTGTAGCTATAGTGAATCAAAACTACTCAAGAAGCAAAATGTAATTTCAGTGACACTGCACTGGACATCCTACCTCACAAACCCAAAGGCCTTATGAAAGACCTCTGAACCAAATTCTTCCAAACCAGTCATGGGGACACAAAGACCAACTACCATTATCTAAAAAATGCCTTCCATATTGTCAAGTATTAAAGAACTTATGGTAAGAAAATGTTTTCCTATTAATGTTTTCATTATATAGATGATGTATACCACAGATTCTATAGACAATTTTAGATATAGTCTGAATTATTGATTGTTTGGAACTTGCAATACTCTTGCCTCAGTCTCCCAAGTCACTAGGAATACAGGCATGTGCTATCATGCCCACCAAAACAGTTAAGATGATAAATTTTATGTTTTATATATTTTACTATAATTTTTTGTTCAGTGATGAGGACTGAACCAGAGATATGGTAGGCAAGACCTCTATCACTGAGCCACATCCTTATCCTGGTATGACATTTTAGAAACCCCTTGCATCAAATAGTTGATAATAAGTTTCAAATATAGTTATGTTTTTATGTTAATGTCTCTATTTCTACAGAAGAGGGGAAGATGATAGCTGGTAGACAAAATGTTAAAAGTATCAAAAGAGGAAAGCTTTGTTTATATGTCCATAGGAGCAGATGAGTGTTCCAAGGAATCATTGCCTGAGCACACAGCAGACAATCAGAAATAAAGCCTAAGAAACAGATTCAACCACAGGACAGTTTGGGGATGAAGTGGTATCTTTACATTTACATATCTTGCTTTCTGAGGACACCTTTGCTCTTACTACAACTTCCTGCTGAATCCTCTAGAAATACAGTCTTTATTATGACAGCATGAATTTATCACTTGATTTTGACTCACTGGTACATACCTCTAAGAGTTATGGGAATGAAATTGCTTTAACAACCAAAGATTTTATGGTACCCTTAAAATCTGTCTTTAAAATATTCAATCTTTGTTTTAGGAGGCAATTACTGTAAAGTAACAGTAAACTAGACCAACTCACCTTGTTAGGGAAATAAGCCTAAGAATTATGTGATCTGAAACATTTTTTTGCTCCTGGGCTTAGTCAGCACCAGTGACTTTTGGTATCCTTAGACTTTCAACTGGTCAGTACCAAGATGACAGGTAACAAAGAAAAAGCGGCTCTCATAAAAGCCACAAATATCACTCATATACTGTGATTTCACAAAATAGGAATAGCATAAAAATAAACTTAGTTCATGTGAACCCATCAAATATGAAGACTGTTAAGGAAACATGCTTTATGAAGAAAAATTTAGCTCCAGTTATAATTTTACAACTTCAATCTTTCCCTATTAAATTGTTACATTAGCCAGGTACAGCCCACACCTATAATCCCAATGACTCAGGACGCTGAGGCAGGAGGATAACAAGTTTGAAGCCAGCCTTAGAAACTTAGCAAGACCCTGTCTCAAAATAAAAATTAAAGGGGCTGGGATATAGCTGAATGATAAAATGCTCCCAGGCTCAAACAGAAAGTTATATATAAATTACTAAGAAATTCTTCATCTATGTCATTATTGTTTGCCAAATAATTAGGAAAATGATTGCATGGGAACTTTTTTTTACTACTTATAATTTGAAGACAGAAACTAAATCCAACATTTTAATAGCCCCAGATCATGATCTACTGTATACCTAGCATAAGGCCCATAAAAATAATTTCCCTGGAAAATGCTTAATATTAAATATGTTTAGAAAAACTAAACATAATGCCTAAAGTATAGGTGATCACAAGATGATATTTATTTTGCTACTGACTCTACATTTCCACACTCAATACTCTTAACAAGATTCAAGGTAAAATATCTAATGACAAGAAATACCTGGCTGTTTTTTTTAAGAAGGACCGAAGTGCCATCATCATCAACTTCAAATTCCCCATAGTCTTTTAGACACCGCACCTAAAAGGAAAAAGAAAACACAAAAAACCTGATACTTTATCTAAATTTTTGGGTTTTTTCATTCTTTCTTTAAGATGTTACCCAGGATGATTCTGAACTCCTGGACTCAAGTGATCCTCCTGCCTCAGCCTCCCAAATGGCTGACACTACAGATTCATGCCACTGTACCCAACTTAAAATATTTAATAGGTAGTAAACAAGAAGAAATCAGGTAATACCTGAATACCTACAGAGTAAAATATTAGGCTTTCCATCTGTTTCCTTTCTGTATACTTGGGTCTGGTGCTACTACTGTGATATTCTCATGGTTCTAATTGTCCTGCTTTGATAGGGAAAAAGAAAAATGGCAAAATCTCTGAATGTGTATGTGTATTAATGTTGAAAGCAAGAACATCCAGGGAGCTGAATAAAGAAGATATCATTGGATCCTTTCCCCTCTGAAAATCCTGAAAAAGTAAGCTTTTGAAATATCTACCTACCAAAAGTTTAGATCTTCTCCAGACTGATTCTTGTAGATCTCACCCATAAAATTTTTTTTCCATATGATTTATTTTTACTTTTTTTAGTCATACATGACAGCAGAATGTATTTTGACATATAATACATACATGGAATGTACATGCATCAATCATATTGTCTATTCTATTCTGCTGCCCTTCCTATCCTCCCTACTCCTCCCCTCCTCTCCCATCCTGTCTATCCAATTTAATGTGACACTTTTTTTTTCTTTTTCTCATCACAACATCATATATGTATTCTGTATAACAATGAGGTTCTCCTTCCATCTTCTGTGCAACTTCCCTTCTCCCTCTTTTTCCCTCCCACCTCTCTTCCCCATTTAGTGGTGGTCTTCTTCTCATGCTCTTCCTCCCTATCCCATTTTGAGTCACCCCCTTATATCAGAGAAGACGTTCGGCATTTGTTTTTTAGGGACTGGCTAACTTCACTTAGCATAATCTGCTCTAATGCCATCCATTTGCCTACAAATGCCACGATCTTGTTATTTTTTAGTGCTGAGTAATATTCCATTGTGTGTTGGGCTGGGGATGTGGCTCAAGCAGTAGCGCGCTCGCCTGGCATGCGTGCGGCCCGGGTTTGATTCTCAGCACCATATACCAACAAAGATGTTGTGTCCGCGGAGTACTAAAAAATAAATATTAAAAAAAAATTCCATTGTGTATAAATGCCACATTTTTTAATCCATTCATCTATTGAAGGGCATCTAGGTTGGTTCCACATTCTAGCTATTGTGAATTGTGCTGCTATAAACATTGATGTGGCTGTGTCCCTGTAGTATGCTCTTTTTAGGTCTTTTGGGTATAGTCCGAGAAGGGGAATAGCTGGATCAAATGGTGGTTCCATTCCCAGTTTTCCAAGGAATCTCCATACTGCTTTCCAAATTGGCTGCACCAATTTACAGTCCCACCAGCAATGTACGAGTGTACCTTTTTCCCCGCATCCTCGCCAGCACTTATTGTTGTTTGACTTCATAATGGTTGCCATTCTTATTGGTGTGAGATGGTATCTTAGAGTAGTTTTAATTTGCATTTCTCTGATTGCTAGAGATGATGAGCATTTTTTCACGTATTTGTTGATTGACTGTATATCCTCTTCTGAGAATTTTCTGTTCAAGTCCTTGGCCCACACACCCATAAAATTTTTATCAATACCTGAGAATAGGACAGAGTTTGCCAAATGTCTACTTTTAGAACAGATTATTCTAATCTCCTCTGGTCATCAGACTTCCCTAGGAATTCTTAGTGTACACCATGAAGGAATAGATGCAGCCTCACATGACAAGAATTGGGAATAGTTCCTGTTTGAAAAAGTGTGGTAGCCTTTTGATAATCACCTTTAAAACTGTAAAGAGACACTGAAAATAAGCAGGACAGTTTTCCTCCTCTATAAGAACACAGACTAGTATTCATTCTTAAATACTAGGACTGGCTTCAAAACACTGCTACTGCTGGGCACAGTAGCACACACCTATAATCCCAGTGACTCAGGAGGCTGAAGCGGATTCCCAAGTTTGAAGCCAGCTCAACAACTTAGCAAAGCTTTAAGCAACTTAACTGAGACCCTGTTTCAAATTTTTAAAAAAGGGCTGGGCACTTAGCTCAGTGGTAAAGTACCCCTGGGTTCAATCAATTCCCAGTACCAAAAAACAAACAAGAAAGAAAAGAAAAAATGTTGTTTCCTTCCAGTAAAGCCAACTTAAGTGTCTCATACTTTTCCAGATAATTTCACCATGTCCTATGATTACTCCAGAATCTTACCAAAGTATTTTAACCTTGAAATACTATTCTAAAAAATCTCCACCACCTCCTATTTATTTCTTTAAGCAGACTTTTATTTTCCTCTTTGGATGGAGAGAAGATTGCTGGGGATTGAGTCGGGGGCCTTATGTGTGTTAAGCATAAGCTCCACCACTGTACTACATCTCCAGCCCTAGACTGGACAAAAAAAATCCACAGCAAACATATCAATTGTGAAGGACTGAAATCTTTTCTGCCAAGTTCAGAAACAGTGTACAAATGCTCACTTTTGTCACTTATGGAAAACCTTGAACACATTCAAAAGTAAAAAAGACTAATGATACTCCATATTCACTTCAACTAGCTTAAACAATTAACATGTGGCCAAACAGGTTTCCCTCCTTCACTTTTGAATTATTTTCATATCTATTACTAGAAAATAAAATTCTTTTTAAAAACATAATCACATTACTATCTCAACACTTTTTTAATATCTTGAAATAGTCATTAAATATCCAATGTCCCCAATTGTCTCATGATTTTTTCTTAAGTTTCTAGATTGAAATCAGAATTCACTTAGTTACAAAATACATGGGTTTTTTTGTTTGTTTGTTTGTTTGTTTTTTGGTCTTAATGTATAGGTTTCCCTCCCTCTTTTAACTTTTTTTTTTCCTTCCTCCTGGCAATTTATCTGTTGAAGAAACTGAGTGGGTAGTTTGATGCATCTTGCAACAATCAAGATTTTGTTGTGGATTTTGGTGAGTCATTTACCATGATCCTCTTCCTGAATTTCCTATAAACTGGAAGACAGGTCTAGAGGTTTTTTTTTTTTCAGACAAAGTTTTGTATTTTGGCATTTCCTGTACTTCCTCTTATAAGTGGTCCTTTGTGGATTTTAAAAATTATCAGTGGGTCTAAGTGTTATCCATAACTATCCATCATAAAAGTCCAACTATTCACATAAAGATTAAGTAACTATTTTCTTCTAGCATTAGGGTTACAAAATGGCATTAGGTCTATCTTTTGTTCCTACTGCTTTTGTTAACTGAAATTATATAACAAGTTTCCCTCATAAACTCTGGTGCTTCCCTGAGATAGTCTGTATTACTATTTATGGCCTTTCAAAATGACTTTGATCCTTCATTCTCCAACAGGACTACATAATCACTTCCATATGTACAAGAAAAAGCACTTGGCAAAATTCAACACCTTTTCATGACAAAAACACTTAACCAACTAGGAACAGAAGGAAACTATGTCAACATAATAAAAGCCATACACAAAAAAATCCACTGCAGTAGCCAGGTGCAATAGTACACACCTGTGATCCCAGCAACTCTGGGGCTGAGGTAGGAGGATTGCCAATTTGAGGCCAGTCTCAGGACCTTGTGCCCTATCTCAAAATAAAAATTTTAAAAACGGAGTGGGGATGTGGCTCAATAGTAGAATGCTTGCCTAGAATTCATGAAGCCCTGGGATCAATTCCCACCACCACAAAATAAGTAAATCAGTTAATTAATTTTAAGGGCACTCGCCTTAGCATGTTCGAGGCCCTGGGTTTGATCCTCAGCATCACACAAAAATAAATTAATTAAATAAATAAGTAAATAAATAAGGGCCGGGGTGTAAATCAGTGGCACAGCACCCCTGGATCTGATCCCCAGTAATGCAAAGGAAAAAAAAAATCCACAGCAAACATATCAATTGTGAAGGACTAAAATCTTTTCTGCCAAGTTCAGAAATAGTGTAAGAATGCTCACTTTTGTCACTTCTGTTTAATATGTAATTGGAAGGTATAAATGAGTAATTGGGCAAGAAAAAATAAAAGCATCTAAATTAGAAAAAAGTTCAGCATGGTAGTGTTCTTCTGTAATCCCAGCTGCTAAGGCAGAAGGACCACAAATTCCAGATCAGCCTCAGCAATTTGGCAAGATCCTGTCTCAAAAAACAAACACCAACAAAAAGAATTAATTATTTCTATCCATAGATGATATGACTGTACATGTAGAAAACCTTAAAGATCGCTTCAACACACACAAAAAACTGTAACTAGTGAATGAATTCAGCAAAGTATCAGGATACACAGACAACACACAAACCTCAGTTCCATTTCTATATACCAACAATGAAAATATGAAAAAGGAAATTACAAAAATAATCCCATTTATATAACATGAAAAAGAATACAATACTTAGGAATTAACTAAGCCAGGGAAATGAAAGGCTTGTCAATGAAAACTATTAATCACTGCTGAAAGAATTTAAAGAAGATAATAGTAAGTGAATATATCACCCATGTTCATGAATTAGAAGATACAATATTAAGAGGTAAACAGTACTCAAACCAATCTACAGAGTCAATACAACCCCTATTAAAATCTCAATATAACTTTTATAAAAATTTCAAAGATATATTTTGGACAAATAAAAAAAAAAAATCAATCCATAAAATCTCTAGAGACCTCAAACAGCCAAAGCAATCTTGAAAAAGAACAAATTTTAGGGACTCATTTCCTGATTTCAAAACCTACTACAAGGCTTTAATAATTAAAATAGTCATAGTTCTGGCATAAAAACACACACATAGCAATGGAACAGAATATAAAATAAACTCTTTTTAATATATACTTTTTAGTTGTACGTGGACATAATATCTTTATTTTTTTATGTGGGCTGAGGATCAAACCTAGTGCCTTACATGTGCTAGGCTGAGCCACAACTCCAGTCCCCAAAATAAACTCTTGAATGGTCTTATGAAAAGGGTACCAAGACCATACAATGCAGAAAGAAAAATCTTTTCAAGAAAGACGTACAAAAGAAGAAATGTTGGAGTATTACATAACACCAAATACAAAAATTGACCTAAAGCACAACTCTTCGAAAACTTAGGGCAGAAGCTGTACAACTTTAGATTTGGCAATGATTTCTTGGATATAGCACCAAAAGAACAAGCAGCAACAACAACCACAGACAAACTGGACGGCATGAAGCTCCAATCTTTTGTGCATGTGAAAAAAGTACTAACAACTTAAAAAGGTAATTCACAGAATAAGAGAAAATATTTGCAAATCATATATGTGAAAAAGGATTACTATCCAGACTATAGAGAACCTAAAACTCAACAAAAATGTAAACTCAATTCAAAATGGACAAAGAACCCTGAAAAGATATTTTTCCAGACATATAAATAGCCAAGAAACGTGAAAAGATGCTCAACATCACTAATTATTAAAGAAATTCATCTCAAACCAAAAATGAAATAACATTTCTCACAAAAAATTATGGGTGACCATAATTTTTTAAAAAGGGAAAAATATGATAGAAATTTTGGTGAGGATGAAGAGAAATTGAAACCTTACGTGCATTATTAGGAGAATGTAAAATGGTACAGCACTTGTAAAACAGTACGGCAGTTCCTCAAAGTTTAAACACCATGTGACACAGCAATTCTATTTTGGGGTATACACCAAAAAGAAATAAAAGCAGGGCCTCAAATTGTGTGTATGTGTGTGTGTGTGTACGTTTACTGAAGATGAAAGCCAGGGAATCGCCACCACTGAGAGTGCACTGAGATACATCCCCAACCCTTATTTTTAAACAGGGTTTCACTGGCCCAGGCTGGCCTCAAACTTACAAACCTCCTCCCCAATCTCCCTGGAATTACAGTATCCATCAATGGATAAATGGATAAGGAATATGGTTTACCCATAAAATGGAATATTACTTTAAGTAAGATCTAAAAAAGGAAAGAAATTCTGACACATGCTACAAAATGGATGAATCTTGAAAACATTATGCTACACAATAAGCCTGTCACAAAAAGACAATCACTTTATGATTCCACTTCTATAAGAAACTTAATAGTTAAAATCATAAAGACAAAGTAGGGGCTGGGGTTGTGGCTCAGTGGTAGAGTGCTCACCTAGCATGCGTGAGGCACTGGGTTCGATCCTCAACACCACATAAAAATAAAGATATTGTGTCCACCTAAAAAAAAAAAAAAAAAACTAAAAAATAAATATATTAAAAAAAAGACAAAGTAGATGGTGGTTTGCAAGGGCTAGGAAGAGAGGAGATTTGGGGTATTACTGTTAAGTGGGTTTAGTTCCAGTATTATGAGGCAAAAAGAAATCTCGACATGGATTGCACAATATTATGAAAGCATTTAATACTTTCTGAACTATATACTTAAAGGATAGGTAAGCCGGGCATGATGGTACACACCTGTAATCCCAGCAGCTTGGGAGGCTGAGGCGGAGGGATCACAAGTTCAAAGCCAGCCTCAGCAATTTAGGGAGGCCCTAAGCAATTTTTGAGAGCCTATTCCAAACTAAAAAATAAAAAGGGCTAGGGATGTGATTCAGTGGGTACAACCCCTGATACCAAAAAAGAAGATGGTTAAGATGATGAAATTTATGTTTTGTATATTTTAGTGCAATAAAATAGGGGGAAAAGTTTAAAAACCAAACAGAAATAATTCCTATTTGTCTATCAACTTAAAAGATAGGTTCATTTGTTTCACTGTTTTCAAAATTTAGGGATTCCTCTGATCCTTGGCATCTCCACAGGTAGGGGTGGAGGAGGTGGAATAGGGACTGGGTTTCCATTTTGATTAAATTTTGTTTTCATAATAAGTAAAACATTCATATGGTTCCAGAGATAAAACTATAAAATAAAGTATGGTCACAGAATTTTAGCTGTTTTATTGCTACCATCCCCATATTCGTCACCCAACTTTATTGGTTTGGGCTTATGCTTCCTTTATTTTTAAGTAGCAGCTAACATGTATTCATTCATATCCCTCTCCCTCACCTTAGACAAAAAGAAGCACAACCTATACATTAAAAAATGTACATACTAGGTGCAATGCCACACGCCTCTAATCCCAGTGGCTCAGGGGCTAAAGCAGGAGGATCATGAGTTCAAAGCCAGTCTGAGCAAATTAGCAAGGTCCTAAGCAACTTAGTGAGACCCTGTCTCTAAATAAAAAGGGCTGGGGATGTGCTCAGTCATTACACACCCTTGGGTTTAATTCCTGGTACCCAAAAAAAAAAAAAAAAATTTATACATACTTCAATATATAAACTTTTTGGAGGTTTCATATCCTGTGTGATGTCCAAACCTTCATCTCCTCCCAGTGACCTCATGTAGGTAGCAAGAGACTTTTTATACTGATTAAACCACTCTATCTGCAAATATAAATACAGTCATTTAATAAAGTTATAAGAAAACTTGCACAAATTATACACCCAGCCTTTCAGAAACAGCATATACATCCCAATGTAGATCACTATTACGGCCATTCATTCATTTTACACTGCAATTATTGATTGCGTTCTATGAACCTGGCACTGTTGTGGATACTTAGGAGGGAACATTCAACAAAATGACAAAAATCTCTGCTCTCAAAAGTTTATACATATTAATCATAAACCTATATTTATGATTGGAAACATCATAAAAACAACATTTCAGAATTACAAACACAATTATAAAATAGCATTGATGCTATTAAAAAGTGCTTGAGAAAACAACCCAAGTATGCATCAACCGATGAATGGATATATATATCCACACAATAAAACAGTATTCAGTGATAAACAGAAATAAAGTTCTGAAACATTTTTTACCACACAGATGAACCTTGAAAATTTAAACTAAGTGTAAGAGGTAGAAGGCTATATATTGCCATGATTCTACTCATGAAAAACCCACAGTAGGCAAAGAGACAAAAGTAGATTGGTGATTTCTAAGTACTGAAAGGGAGAAACTATGGAGTAACTGATGAAGAATACATGGTTTCTTTTGGGGGTGAGGAAAATATTCTGGAAAAGAATGATAGTAATGGATATACAATCCTGTAAGTATGCTGAAAATCAATGAATTTTATACTTTAAAATGATAACATTGTGGTATAAGAAAGGTATCATAGGGCTGGGGATATAGCTCAGTTGGTAGAGTACTTTCCTTGCATGTTCAAGGCCCTGGGTTCAATCCCCAGCACCACAAGAAAAAATAGAAAAAGAAAAAGAAATGGATCTTGGTAATCTATTATTTAATTTTTTAAAAATCTGTTAAAGGTATATTAAGAACTGTATTGCAAAAAAAAAGGAAAGTTCTTGTATAATGGCATAATTTGGCGTGAACATACTTTATATACAGAGTTAAGAAAAATCGTGCTATGAATGGATAATTATGAATGTAATGCACTCAACTATTGTCATATTTTTTTTAAAAAATCTGTTATCCAAAAACCATTGAAATGAAAGAAGATCTAAATATACGGAGTGTATACCACATTAACAGATCAAACAATTCAATATTGTAATTATGTCAAATGATCTATATGTTCAACTCGGTCTCAAAAAATTTGAAGGTAGGTGCAGTAGAGCATGCTTGTAATCTAGCGGCTCAGGAGGCTGAGGCAGGAGGTTTGTGAGTTCAAAGCCAGCCTCAGCAAAAGCAGAGTGTAAGCAATGTTGGACCCTGTCTCTAAATAAAATATAAAGCAGGACTGGGAATGTGGCTCAGTGATTGAGTGCCTGAGTTCAATCCCTGGAACCCCCCATCCCCTCAAAAATGACAGACTGAATCTAAAATTACACAGGAATGTAAATGGTCAATAGTTGAAATACCTGAAAAAGAACAAGATGGGAATGCTTGTTCAGACATTATGATAAAGTAATTATAACACTGGAATTGGTGCTAGGAGAGAAGAAAGAACTCTCATCCAAAATCCAGATACAGAAATATACAATTTATGTTAGAGGTGGCACCATGCACAGAGTAGGTGGATCCAGGAGGATCTTTTTATTTATTTATTTATTTTTGGTGGTGCTGGGGATTGAACCCGGGGCCTTATGCATGCGAGGTAAGCACTCTACCAAATGAGCTATATCCTCAGCCCCATACACTTGCTTTTCTTTTTCTTTTTTTCCAGGAGGATCTTTTTCATAAATGGTACTAGGTGATCTCAATATCCCCAGTACAAAAAAAAAAAAAAAACCCACCATAAAACAAAACAAAACAAAACAAAACTAAACTAAAAGAGCCTGGGGATAAGACACCTTTGGGCAAAATCCCTAGCACAAAAATAATAAATAAATAAATATGTCCTACAGGCTAATCCAAGAGGTCTCTCACGCCAAGTGGGCATTAGGCAATATCTGGTGATATTTTTGATTGTTACAACTTGGGAGAGGAGAGCACTGCTGGCACCTGGAGAATAATACCCAATGGTTGCTGCTAAACCCCCGCCAATACTAAGGACAACCCCCAATGATTATTCAGTCAAAAATGACTACTGAGATTAAAACACCTTGGAATTGAGTGACCACATAATGTATATTGTGCATATAATTTAATATACAAAGAATCCAAGACACTGCTGAAAATGAAGAAGTAATATAAGTAATGATAACAGGGTAACAGGTATAAACTAGGACATATATTCCCACATGGAAATTCCATTCCCAGGTATTCAGCAGAAATGCATACTTATTGCCATATTACAAGAATGTTCATAATAGCATTATTCATTACTGTGAAAAGCTAGAAACAGTATCAACAATAAATTGCAGCCCCTACTCAGAATGGAATAGTATATGGCAGTGAAAAAAGTCAAAATGCTGTATGAATAGAAAAAGTTCAAAAATAAACAACACTAAGTTACAGTGTTTAGGGATGCATGCTTAGGTGGTAAAATAATATTTTTTAAAGCAAGGAAGTGATTAGTCTGCACAAATGTCAGTGGTGACATGGGGAGAAGGGATGCAGAGCTTCTAAGGTGATGTCTTTCTTGAATAGGGTGATGGATTCATGGGTATTTCTTGGTGACACATTATGAAGCTCTTTATCTTCTTTTGTACATCTCTTTGTATGTATATGTGTATGTATGTGTGTTACATATAAATTTCATAATACAAATAATGAAATGGATTAAAAAGATTCAGAAGGGTTAAGAGAAGATGTATGTGGTAAAACCTACATTATATTTTATAATAACCAAAAATTTTAAATGTTTTATTTTGATAAGTATGATGAAAAACTTTGAGATGATTCCAAACAAGTCAAACATGGATCTTTCTAACTTGTTTTTTCCTGGAGTGTCTCTACTGAGGACAGCAAAATATAAGGGGCTCCAAAGAGAAACAAAAAGTGAGAAAAAAAATAATACAAAGTTGATTTAACTTCATTCCTGGATGAAAGAGCAATGCAGAATATATACATTCCTTCCATAAAAGAACATACTGACATTGTCACAAAATACTTGTTTATGGAAAAATATTAATATAAAAAAGTAACCTATTTTCATTACCTTTCATGTTAGTTACCTATACAGACCTATAGATTTTATAGTTAAAAACAAGGTTAGGAGATCAAAAGCTACCGCATAAAAGATTTTACTATTTTGAAATCAGATGAGAATATTTTTATGTCTTAACCATATATGCACTGTACAATGAAGAAATTGGGCCAAGTGCAGTGGTTCATGCCTGTAAGTTCTGTTATTCATGAGGCTGAAGGAGAAGAACTCCAAATCTGAGGCCATCCCGGGCAACTTAAAGAGGACCATCTCAAAATAAAATCTCCAGCTTGGTGATAAAGCCCTTGCCTAGCATTTACAAGGTCCTGGGTTCAATCCCCAGTACTACTTAAATAGTTTTTGGTGCTGGGTATTTAATCCAGGGGTACTTTATCACTGAGCCACATCTTCAGTCCTTTTTATTTTGAGACAGGGTCTCACTAAGTTGCTGAGGGCCACACTAATTTGCTGAGGCTGGCCTCCACTTTATGATCTTCCCATTTCAGCCGCCAAATTTCTGATTACAGATGTATGCCACTGCAACCAGACAGAATTTTTTTTAAGATGAAGAAACTGGCTGGCTTTTGTTTGCATACTTGGGAGATAACTTCTAAATTCATAGAATTTTTCAAATAATAGAAGTTTCTTGTCATTCATAGTAATTTCTGATAATATGTACTAATGAGGTGACTCATGGAGGACCTCTGGATAATTTGTACTAACAAGATGACTCAGAGAGGGGGTAGCTAATCCAGAAAGATTACCATGTTATTAGATATGGGCTTTTGGCCTCTTGATATCAGTTTGACCTCTGGGGAAGGTAGTAGGGATTCAGACTGAGCTCAATCTTAGTACCAGTGATTCAGCCAGTCATTTTCTGGAATGAAACCCTAGCACTCTGGATACCAATGCTTATATGAGCTGCCATGGTAGAGAATATCCCATGAGTACTACTATTATACCTAAATGTATTAGAAGGGTGTTAATTTCTGACAGGGAAAAGATGCCAGAAGGTTCAAGTCTAGGACCCTCTTAACCCTCACCCTGTGAGCCTCTTTTTTTGGCTGATTCTGATTTTGTGTTCTTTTTTCTCTAGGACATTTAAGTTTTAAGCATAGTGGTTTCCTGAGTTATATGAGTCACTCTGGAGAACTGCTGAACCTTAGGAGATAGTGATACCTCAGATTCTGGCACCTTAGGATTTGTGTCTGGTATCTGAAGTGAGAGCAGTGTTGTGGAAGATTCTGTGAAATCTAGTCTAACTCTAGGTATTTAGTGTCAGAAGTCATTGCAACCTTGTAACAAGTAGATACTATGAACTTCATTTTGTAAATAAGAGAATTTAGGCATGGAGAGAGGTCAAGTTGCTTGCCAAAGATTCCACAGTTAGTGGAGAACCACTAACTGGATTTGAATCCAAGTCTGCCTGACTCCAATCCTGTGGCCTTAAATACTGAGCTAACTCTGTCCCTAAGTAACTGGATAAATTAAGAATTTCATTTATAATATGAATTTGTAATATTGTTTAGAAAGTGTGTATGTGTGGTTGGGTACAGTGATACACTCCTGTAATCCCAGAGACACAGGAGGCTGAAGCAAGAAGATAGCAAGTTCAAGGTCGGCCTCTGCAATTTAGCAAGGCCCTAAGCAACTTAGTAGACCCTCTCTCAAAATATAAAATAAAAAGAACTGGAAATGTAGCTCAGTTGTAAATCACTCCTGGTTTCAATTCTCAGTAACAAAGAAAGAAAGAAACTGTGTGTATGCACTTGCCTATGTACATATATATATACATAAACATGCATATATTTTATGGAAAACACCAACTAATAACACCAGTTTTTAAACCCCACTAATTGATCACTTATAAATCACATAATGGAATTCTATTTTGCTGAGTAATAACAGAGTTTTCCAGATAGCATTTAGAATTATTCCCTACCACATATTTTTCCATCACAGTATACACAAAATAATGTCAAAACTTGCCTAAGAACAGATATTAAAAACAAAAGGAGAAACAACCCTATTACAGAACAATACCACAAACTCTGCATTTTCATAAAATTTGAACAATGCAAACTTACTTCTTCAGCAGACATGTGAAATCGTAAAGCACTTGGCAAAACACTGCCATATTCCCACCTGAGAGCTCTAATTCGAAGCAATCGGTCATACCTACAACATATAGAGGGAATTAGACAGTATAAGAATTAAAGGGGGAAATTAGAAGTTGTTCTGATTAGGATAGACTCAAGATTCACAACAGCCTAAATAAAATATACTTGTTTCTTGATGTAAACAAGCCAATTATAAGAAGGTATCTTTGAAACAATGGAACAAACATGCAGATGGACTGAACAGATGCCATGAAGACATTGTTCACCCCGCCAGTTGTGACACCATACAGTGGTTATAAAGGTCCAAATGATCCTTATTTTTTACTTTTACTTTTTTTATATTTTGGTACTAAAGATTCAACTCAAGGTGTTTAACCATTGAGCTATGCCCCCAGGCTGCCCCCTTTTTTAAAAAATTTTTTGAGATGGAGTCTCACTAAGTTGTTTAGGGCCTAGCTAATTTGCTGAGGCTGGCTTGGAACTTGTGATCCTCCTGCCTTAGCTTCCCGAGCCATTGGGATTACAGGTAGCGCCACCATGCCCAGCCAATTCTTATTTTTTAGAGAAATAAGAAAAACATTAAAGATACTAAAATAGTGGTAAAGTGCATAATATTCTAAAAATGTATATGATGAAGTACTATGGCAAAATATTAAAAAGACATAAAGGTACTGGGGATGTAGCTCAGTTATAGAGTGCTTTCCTAGCATGTATGAGGATATGTCCCACCCCCAATATTGCCAAAAAAATTAAAAATAAAATAAATTGACCTAAGGGGATATGATGACTCTGAGGGTTTATTAATCTTCTTCCTTTAATGAATATTGCAATTTTTCATAACAAATTTTTAAAAATAGAAAAAGAGAAGATTTAGAATATTTATAAAGAGACAAGAGATAGCCAGGCACAGTGGTACATATCTACAATCTTAGCAACTCAGGAGGTTAAGACAGGAGGATACCAAATTGGAGGCCAGCCTCAGCAACTTACCAAGATCCTGTTTCAAAATAAAAAATTTAAAGGCCTGGGGGTGCAGCTCTGTAGTACAGTATCCCTGGGTTCAGCCACAGTACTGCAAAAAATGTTTTTAAAAAAGAGAGACAAATCTAAGATTCCCTGCTACCCTTTTGGAAAGGTTATCTGGAAAACCAAACCACACAGAAAACCCTCTGGGTTCCTTCCATCCCAAATAAACAGTGAGAAACTTACAAGTAGGCAACAGTGCAGCGCCGATTTCTTAACAGAGAACAGTGCCGAAATTTAATAGTTGGTATCAAATCACCTCGTCCACCCAACTTTGCTTCATTTCTGATAAGAACATTAAAAGAACAAAATGTATATATGGGTATGTTACCATATTAGTAAAAATTTCAAAGCCAACAACTACTAACTTAAATGCTTGGGGTTTTTTTGTTTGTTTGTTCTGGGTTATTTTGTGGTGCTGGGGATCAAACTCAAGGCTTTGTGCATGCTAAGCAAGCACTCTTTCACTGAGCTACACTTCCTACCCCACAAATTGTCCAAATACAAGGAACAAGGAAAACTATTTCCTTATTGGACCAAGGACTGCTAGACCATCTCCAAAATATCTTTATTTTTCTGTTCACTTTTACTAACTCCAGGTCACCTCTCCAGTCACCTAGATAACCAATGTGCCTCCCTCTCCTCTTAGCTTCCCCAGGAGCTGTGTGCAGGACAGCCAGGATAGTTTCTTAAGACACAAATGAGTCACCACCCATCCACACTTAAAAATTGCATTTGGTGTCACCCTCTGTTCCTTACTAAGCAATCAGTGCCTCAATAAAACCACTTCTCCTTTAGGCCTCAGCTGAAATGTCTCTTCCTTAGAATGGCCCTGATTCCTCAATCTAAGTTGTATCTTCTTTAAGTGTCTCCCAGCCCTCTGTTGCCTTCTTTCACAGAATGTCTCCCAATTTGGTATGTCTGTATTTAATATTTATCTCTGCACTAGACTAAGAGTCACAAGAACAGGAATCTGGGCTATGTCAATTACGAGGCAAATACTGGGGCCATTTGTTGGCATATCCTTTTTCAGTGCATATTTGTTGAATGAATTAATGAATGTCATTTGCTGCAACTCTGCTGAGGTTCAGTTCCTCATTCCATCTATAAAGATTTTTCTGTTATTTATCCTAATACTCAGAAATGGGAAAATGCTCCTATCATTTGTGTGCCCCACAAATCTTACCAGCATGCCACTGATTTCTATATCAAACTAACTCATAAAAACATTCTACCTAAGCCATTCTACTTAGGCTACACTCTATAAGGCCAAAGAGAAAATCTCATGTCACAGAGATAGATGTCTCTCTAGATTTAGATCTTGGCCACCTCAATTTTGATCCAGCACTTTATGTCACTGGAACCTGTGAAGTTTGTCACATAGCCCAGATTCCTCGTTGTTCCAATTAGCATGTTCAGATCTAAATATTCTATGAAACTAGAGGCTTCTCTTGACCTACTAAGCTGTAGTCCTCTGTTAAATCAGTTCTCAGTGAAGTCCACTCAAGCTATTAGAAATCACTTGCTATTAGTGCCAATTTTACAAATTATTCCTTAGTCAAATTAAGGCATCTATTAATGAAAACAGTGGAAACTACATATTTCACTTTGTTATGGTTTTTATTTGCTTGTGTCTCATCTTTTTAACTCTGCCTTAATTCCTTTTAACTCAATATATATTAGTCAAACCACAATAATTTTTAAATATCTACCACTTACCAAGCAATGATCAACACAAATCCATCTATGTCCTGGCTCTGTGTTAACTTGTACAGTTAGGGTATGATCAGGCTCACAGAGAATTGGAAAAAAAAAAAAAAAAATCCACATCCCCAAAACTGACATAAGCCAGGCATGATGGCACACACTGGTAACCCAGTGACTCATGAGGATTGCAAGTTTGAGGCCATCCTTAGCAACTTAGTGAGGCCCTGTCTCAAAATCTCAAAATTAAAAAAAAGGGGGGGCTATGCATGTAGCTTAGTGGTTAAGTGCTCCATGGTTCAATCCCTAGTACCAAAAAGGAAAACAAAAAACAAAAAAAACATACACTCACAAAAAAAAACATGATGTAAGATTATATGACTTCAACTTCTTAAATTGTTTTAAAATATCAAAACTTACACATCAGACTGGTTTTGTTCATATAAAGCTTTCATTTCCTCCAGAACTTGTCTGATTCCATCCTCCTAAAACATATAAACTGATATTGATACAAATTCATTTATTTCTCTACCAAACCTGTGACAATATTGTTTGTACTATATTGACCTTTGATTTACAAACCTTACAAAAAAAAACAATAGGATGGCCGTGGTGTTAACAAATAATGTTAACTGGATATCCCCATGAAAAAACAATCCACTGGCTCATCAAAAGTTAAAAAGAATTACTATATGATCCAGCAATTCCACTCCTAAGTACATATCCAAGCAAACTGCAAACATGTTCCCACAAAAATCTGTACAGAAATGTTCTTAGCAGCATTATTCATAATAGTCCAAAAGAAGAAACAACTCAAAATGTCCACCAACTGATAGATGAATAAACCAAATGTAGTATAAACCTTCAATGGAATATAATTCAGCCCTAGAAAGAAATGAAGTACTGATAGATGCTACAACATGGATGAATCCTGAAAACTAAATGAAAGACACCAGACACAAAATAAAAAGTATTGTTATGGCTCCACTTATCCAAAATATTTAGCAAAGACAAAGTCATATAGACCCAAAATAGTTTAAAGGTTACCAGAAGCTGCAGAAAAAGGGAAACTGGTACAATTATTGCTTAATGGTAAAAGAGTCTCTGTTTGAGGTGATAAAAAGGTTTTGGTAATAGTGGTAATGATTGATGACAATGTAAATATAATTAATGCCATTAAAGTTCACAGTTAAAATGGCTTTATATGGCTGGGCGCGGTGGCACAAGCCTGTACTCCCAGTGGCTTGGGAAGTGGAGGCAGGAGGATCTCAAATTCAAAGCCAGCCTCAGCAATTCAGCAAGTTTTGCTAAGCAAATCAGTGAGACCTTGTCTCTTAATAAAATACAAAATAGGACTAGGGATGTAGCTCAGTGGTGGAGTGCCCCTGACTTCAATCTTGGTACCCAAAAGAAAATGACTTTATATGTGTACATCTTACACAGTGAAAAAAATGTAAAGGCTCAATTAAAAGGAATGAATTACTGAAACCATACAAAATAAGTATAATCTCAAATATATTACACTAAACTAAAAAAGGCCAGGCACAAAAGAGTGTATACTATGTAATAGCATGTAGCCCTTTACAGAAAAAGTTTGCCAGTTCCTGGATGTGGAATCCAGCAATATGCAGAAAAGGAGAAATATAACCTGTAGTGAGAGAAAGCAAATTTGTGGTTGCCAAAGGCTATAGCAGGGAGGTTGGCTACAAAATAAAACAGTGGTGGGCTTTACAAAATGGTGATCAGGGTACTGGTTATAAAGTATACATTTGTCAAAATTTGTAAAGTCTATTAAACTGTATGTTTTGTTATATATAAATTATATCTCAGGCAGGTGTAGTGGCACCCACCTATAATCCCAGCAGCTTGGGAGACTAAGGCAGGAGGACTGCAAGTTCAAACCAGCCTCAGCAACTTAGTGAGGCCCTAAGCAATTTAGTAGAGACCCTGTCTCAAAATAAAAACTTAGTAGCAAACAAACAAACAAAAACCCTCAATAAAAATGAATGCAAAAAAATAATAATAGAAAGAGACTAAGGAGATATGACAGCTAAATTCTTATTTGGATTCCTAAAACAAATAAATTAGTGCTGAAACCAAAAAAAAAAAAAAAATTAATGCCAAACTATGTATTTGTGCAGTGATGGTTCAAATTCTTCTTATATAAGAAATCTGTACATTTAGGCACCTTGGAATCAAAAGAGTATACAATAAATCCCATATTTTAAGAAACAAATAATAATAATAATAATAATAGTCCTACAGAAGCAATAAGGCATGCATAACCAAAGCATGTAAATTATTATTTACTGAAAATGGTCTTTAAAGGGTTAATTACTCCACCCCAAAAAAGTACTTTAAGTTTGTACTACAAGAATAAGAAGACCAAAGGAGTTTTCCTACCCCCACCCTGGAGCAGTTTTTTTTTTAACTTTCTATTAAATAAAATATTAAATTTCATGAATGTTACACAGTAACTCTGTGAACAATCCAAAGAAAAGATTCCCATTTGTTTTCCCAATCTATTCTTAGGGCCAAAATATATGTATTAGCATAAATATTTTTGGTAGAATATGAAATAACAAAGCACTTGCCTAGTATGCACAGGCCCTGGGTTTGATCTCCAGCACTGCAAATAAAACTTTTGATATACCACTACACAACCACTTAACCTACTCAAGATATAATTCCTGATAAAAATTTAAGCAAGAGGCTGTGGATATAACTTAGTTGGTAGGTTACTTGCCTCGCATACACAAAGCCCTGGGTTCAAGTCTCAGTAATACACACACACACACACACACACACACACACACACACACATACACACATAAAATGTAAGCATGACTTTTACTTTCTCTTTTAGCATCTAATTTTTTAAAATTATGGGAAGGTTTGATTTATAAAAACTCAATATTTTTATAAACAAATGTTATTTTAAAACATTGTACAACTATATATCTGTAGGTATACAAAAGCCAAATATGAAATAATTCTTTGAAATATACGCAAGTTTTCAGACTTTGAGTTTTATCTATAGAGGAAATTACATCTATTCTGTGCGCATCTCAGACTATAAGCTTCCAACAGCTCAAGATAATAGTCTTTCATTTAGGGTACTCAGGATTGAACCCAGAAGCACTTAACCACTGAGCCACATTCTCAGCCCTTTTTTATTTTGAGACAGGGTCTTGCTAAATTGCAGGTGCTGGCCTCCTCCTGCCTCAGCCTCCCAAGTTGCTGGAATTACAGATGAGTGCCATCATACCTGACCCCAAGATAATATTCTTAAAAACATTTTTTTTTAGCTGGGGGCGGGGGTACTCTACCACTGAATTATATTACCAGACTTTTTAAAATTTTTTTGAGATAAGGTCTCACTCAGTTGCCTAGGCTGGCCTGGAACTTGTGATCACCCTGCCTCAGCCTCACAGGTTCACTGTGATTATGGGCTGAAAACATACTTTTTTAGGGGGAATAAATTCAGTTCTGCATATCATTTTTTAATTTGCTGAATACAGCACCCAACCACAAGTGATTCTAGAATAAACAAGGCAAAGCCTCTGCTCTAAACCCTTGGCTGTCAACTACCTGGTATGGGAGGAATGAAGAGATGATTTTTTTTTTTTTTAATTGAGACAGGGTCTCCCTATATTGCAGAGGTTGGTTCTGAACTTGTAATCCTCCTGCCTCGCCCTCTGAGTAGCTGGGATTATAGGCATGTACCACCACATGATTCTTGAAAGACTGCTGCATCTCAGATCAAGTACTGTCTTCTCCCATTCAGCTGTGTCTGAGGCCAGTCTCTACAGACTCAGTCTTCCAGGCAGCAGAGTCACCTCCCTAGCAGGTGTTTTAGTCAGTGAAAGGCACTAATGAGCAAAAGATAACAAAAGATACTCTCACAAATTAAGACTTTAAAGATAGTGATAGTCACTGTCTTCACATTACAGCTTCTAAGACTCTGGCCCCCTAAACCAACACTTTAATCTTAAAATTTGAATAAAAAGCCAGGCATGGTGGTGCTTACCTATAATCCCTGTGACTTGGGAGGATAAGGCAGAAAGATCAAAATTTTGAGGCCAGCCTGAGTAACTTAGGGACACTGACTCAAAATCAAAAATAAAAAGGACTGGGGACATAGCTCTGTGATAAAGCACACCTGGAATCAATCCCCAGTACCCCCTCTGCCCAAAAAATTGAGTAAAAAGAGTTAAGATTAACCAATCATAGTAGCACACACCTGTAATCTAAGCAGCTCGGGAGGCTGAGGGAGGAGGATCGTGAGTTCAAAGCCAGCCTCAGCAACAGTGAGGTGCTAAATTACTTGGTGAGACTCTGTCTCTAAATAAAATACAGAATAGGGCTAGGGATGTGGCTCAGTGGTTGAGTAACCCTGAGTTCAATCCCCGGTATCCCCCCTCCCCCAAAAAAGAACTAAGACTAAGAAGTGTATGAAGAGCCAGGTTCCAAGGCCAGCCCACCAGCACCTGTTTGGACACTTCTCTGCCTCTTTGGGCCCCATTTCCTCATATGTAAGATAACCTCCACAATAACTAGTTCTATGATCCAGTATGGAGCCAAATTTTAGAGCCTACACACATTCCAGCATCTTTGCTCAGTTTTGCACTATTGTCTCCTCACTTTTTAAATGAGGTAACCTTACTTTTTTTTTTTTTTTAGAGACAGGGTCTCACTGAGTAAAAAGACAGACATGGTAAGGCTTAGCGCCTCATTTTTGATGAGGCTGGCTTTGAACTCTCCATCCTCCTGTCTCAGCCTGCCAAGCCCAGGCAAGTGCCTCTGAGCCCTGCATGAGGTAACTATTCTAAATTGAAAAAGAGATTATAATCTAAGAAGCCTGAGTTCAAGTTGAGGCTCTGCCTCCAATGTGCTCTAAATTGAGACCAGTCCCTTAACTCTGATCCATAATTTCTCTTGGTTCAGTTTCCTCCTTTGTAAAATGGTGTAAGTGTAAAAACTAGGACATTTTTTTTTTGCCTGGGGATTGAACCTAGGGCCAAGGGCCCAGTCCCAGACTAGGTGCTCTTTATTGTTCAAAACAAAATTCATTACCTTTTCCCAAAAGGAATTCATTTTTAACTATGGTTTCCTATTACCCGAGAATCTTTCCAAGATCCTGGCCCATTCATTATCCACCCCATTTCTACCCATTTTAATAATACAGATCCTGTTTGTCTCAGATACTGATTTTAGTGTCACTGACTTGACAATTTAAAGTACACACATCTGTCACCTGACCTACTGTAATCACACAAACAATCTTTCTGTCCCCATTTGGTCTTCTCTTCAATCCATCCCCCCATACTGTTGCCATAATTACCCTCAAAAATGCAAAAATTATTCACCTGACTAAAATCCTCTACCAGCTTTCAAAACACACATTATGAATGAATACTTAACTATTCTAGACTGCAAATCCACCTTTACATGCCCTTTCAGTCACCTTTGCAATGTAACCATGTGTCTTTGTATTACCATATCCTTCAGCTAGAATGCCTCAATCCCTTCTGAATATAACCTCATCCTTAAAGATGATGTGGCTCAAAGGTACCCTTTTGTGGGCTGGGGCTGTAGCTCAGTGGCAGAGGGCTTGCCTAGCATGTGTGAGGCACTAGGTTCCATCCTTAGCACCACATAAGAATAAATAAAGGCATTTTGTCCATCTACAACTACAAAAAATAAAAAATAAAAATTTTAAGTACCCTTTTCTAGTCCCACCCCCACCAGTTTACTTTGTGATTCTCCTTCATGTTCCTTACCTATAATTCGTTGGCACCACTTATCACACTGCATATCATTACCTCTATGCCCCTCTCCCAGAAGAATGTGTCCTGGCATCCACACTATGGCTGCCCTAGGATAGGGGAGGAGGTCAAGCACAGCATTTAGAGTGCAAGCTCTGGAGCCAAAATGCCATGACTAAAAACCTTACTTTAGTTCTTACCTGCTATCACCTGAACAAGATACTTAATCTTTTGCCAAGCTTTGGCATATGTAGCTAGAAAAATGGGGGGGGGGGGGAGATTGTTGAAACCTAAAGGGTTTATTATTTGGACGTGATGATGTAGGTCAACGGCTTGGCACCCTGCCTTAGGGAGCAATTACAGAAAAATAAGAATAATCACATTAATAATAGTTATAGTAACCCTAGTGGAAATAAAAATTAACAGCAACCACTGACTCTGCTTTACTGTATGTCAGGCATTGTTCAGACACCCTCATTGCACGACGAGCTGGTTACTATCATCATCATTCCCATTTTCGCAGAGAAAACTGATAACAAGAAAGCTTGAATAACTGCCCCACAACCAGAATCTCAGGCTCTTTCAGAAGCTGTCCTGCCCGCTGCCCTGGTGCAAGGGATTCTCGGGCATGCTAGGCAAACACTCTATGAGCTACATGCCAAGCCCTGCAGGCCAGCCTTTTGGTTACATTTCGCTGCCGGAGTGGACAGCAAATGCTAGCTCACTATCAGGCAGAAAGTAAATATTTGGTTAAATAAAGAAACTGCGGCAAAACTATACAATGAAAAATACTCAATTATACTCAAGTGAGGAAATTCACTAAGCAGCTGGGAAATAAAAGCATGAATACTTTGTGTTCCCTCTTATATTTTGCTGTGCCGCGTTCCAAAAATTTATCACGACTTGGTTGCTAACCACGTGGGAAAGTAAATCCTCCAGGTGAGATGCAGGGAAGAACTGCAAGGAAGCCGTCCAGGCCCCGCCCCTTTCAGGTCTAGACCGCCGTCCTCACATTGAAAGCGGGTAGCTGCCCTTCTGGCGCGCGGTGCAGCTCACGAACCAGCTCCACAGCTTTTTCGCAGAACATGACGGTCCCTCGGGCTCGTCAAGGTTTCAATCCAAACAGTCGCAGGGGTCTCGGCTTCCGCGTACCTTCTGTTCTGCACACCACAGTTTCAGCTCTTTGCCTCCCACTCTGCGACACGCTTTGGCGCCAAACAAGTCTAGCCAATAGGAACGCGTGGCCAAATCTTCTGCCCTACGGCAGCCGAAGAGGGACATTTGCCCACTCTGCGCGACCGTGTTACAGAAAGGGCGGAATAAGGGGGTTGGTTTTTTCTTTAGTGATGCCCAGCTCTCAGTACAAAGAACAAGCAGCCTGGCGTTGTTCCAGATGGCTGTTGCTATCGCCTCAACTTGCTATCACCTGAACAAGATACTTAATCTTCCCAAGCCTTGGCATATGTAGCTAGAAAAATGGGGGCGGGGAGGGGGCATTGAGACACTCACTGGTGTTTTCGTTTTAGTTTTGCAGCAGGGTTTTTCGTTTGATAACCCTCCTGGGTTGGGTGCCTCCTGTGTGGTAGGAACTGTCATACGTATTTATTTTTTAAAAAAATTTTGGTAGTTGTCTATGGACATTATGCCTTTATTTTGTGGGGCTGAGGATGGAACCCAGTGCCTGATGCCTGCTAGGCAAGCTCTTAGCCACTGAGTTATGGCCCCAGCCCTTTATACTTAATTTTCATAACGTTCGCTAAAGGTGGTTAAGACTCTGAACTGATAAAGAAACAGAAGTTAGATAACTTCCCCAAGATCACAAAAGAGCTCATAAACTCAACTAGACCTTGTAGCTAAGCTTTCCACTTTTGGCTCAGTACCATCCTTTTTCTTTTCTTTTGTTTGTTTGTTTTGTGTGTTTGTGGGGGGTTTTGTTGTTTGTTTTTTTGTGGTATTGGGGATTGAACTCACAAGCTGTCTACCACTAAACTATAATCCCAACCCTTTTATTTCTTATGAGGAATATTAATCTTATTGTGGTTGTCTGGGATATTTTTTATTAGAGTATTATAATTATACATAGCATTGGGGTTATTTTATTTTGAGACAGTCTCTTTAAGATGCTGAGGCTAGCCTGGAACTTGTTATCCTGCTTTAGCCTCCTGAGTTGCTGGGATCATAAGCGTGCATCATCATGCCTGGCTTATTTGGCTAATTTGAAAAAAAAGAAAAAAAAAAGTCTTTTTTTTCTTTTGATGCTGGGGATGGAACCCAGGACCATGCTATGCTAGGCAAGGGCTCTACCAATAAGCTATGCCTTTAGCCCCTAAGCAATATTAATTTCTAAAAAACAGTATTGGATTCATTGTGGCTAACCCTAGAAATAATGTTGCTCTTTTGCAAAGTAGATAAAGTACACATTATCTGATAAAGGGAAATGGCCCATTTAAAAAAAAAAAAAAACAGTTTCTGGACCTTATCCTTACATTTCTTCTAAACACTAAAGGATAACTTTTTTAAACCAAGTACATACTTCAGTCATGGACCATGCTGTGGATTTTGATCCAAAGACAAGCATACATAATCCTCAGCCATATATCTTTTCAATTTCACGCAGAAGGCAGAGTCACTTAATGAACTTGAGACTCACTTCCTTACTTGTAAACTGGGGACCCTAGTGGCATTGCTGAGGAGTTGTGAGGATACAGTCTCTCCCTCAGGAAATATTTACAAAGTGCCTACTATGAGCCAGACATTGGTCTGAGCATTGAAAATACAGCAGTAAATAGGTCTTTTCTCAGATTTTACATTGCAATGTGGAAAAAAAATAGAGATACAGACACATTGACAAATATATTGGTGAGAAGCACAAACAAGAATAAGTCAAGAGGGCCTGGGGTTGTGGCTCAGAAGTAGAGCGCTTGCCTAGCACATGCGAGGCACTGGGTTCAATCCTCATAATAAATAAATAAATAAAAGAATAAGTCAAGAAAGGTGAACACAGTGAAGGTGAGTCTGAGGGTTTTAAGTTAAAAGTGTTCAGTGAATACACAGATGTGAAGGGGGAGGGAACACGACCTGTAGGTGTGGGCAACTGGAGGACAGGGAATTGCAGGTAGCAGGTATTAAAGTGCAAAGGTTCTGAGCAAGGGTGACTGTGGCATGTAAGGACCAGGAAGAAGGCAGTGGTTGAGGAAGGACCCTGTATGTCCTTTCATAAGCTTTCAGTTTTATTTTGAATGAGTTGGGGAACCATCAAGGTAATTTTAACAAATGAGTGACAGAATTACATGTGGCAATAGGAAAAATAAAAATCCTATGTGGCAGCTGAGTTAAGTAGACAGAAATGAAGCAAAGGTAGAGGCAGGAGGGAGACCACCCCTTCTATTAAAATAATCCAAGTGAGGCATGATGTCTTAGCCCAGGGTGGAGAAGGTAGAGGTGATGAGAAGTGTTGGAACCTGAGTAGATTCTGAAAGGGGAGCTGGCTGACAAAGTTTGATGCCAGAAGAAAGAAATCAAAGGTGACCCCAGAGTTTTAGCCTGAGGCAGCACAAAAGCAGAGTTGCCATTTCCCAGGAGGGGAAGCTTATGAAGTTAGAGTGGAAGAAGAGCTGGGAGTTGTTTTGAACACAGTAGTCTGGGTACCTGTCAGATATTAGAGATGAATAGATCTTTGGATAAAGAAGCCTGGATTCAAGGAAAGGAGGGGACCATATTTAAAGCCTCAAAACCAGGAGATAACTATATGGGCAAACCCAGGGCCAGTGAGAAAGATTCAATACCAACTTATGTTTCTTTTTTCTTTCTTCTCTCCAGCTCTCCCTGTCTTCCTTGCCCCCCAACCCCTTATTAAAAAGGATTTTGTGCCAAGGCAAGGTGGGCATACACCTGCAATCCCAGCGGAAGACTGAGGCAGGAAGACTATGAGTTCAACATAGTGAGACCCTAAACAACTCAGTGAGACCCTGTCTCTAAATAAAATATAAAAAAGGCTAGAGATGTGGCTCACTGGTTAAGCACCTCTGGGTTCAATCTCTGGTACCCCAAAAAAGGGTGGGGGGATTTTGTGACAGATAAAATAATTTTTCTACACTTTAACTTCTGAATCCCCAAATCCCCAGTACTGTTATTTCACTTCAAAGAATTCACCTTTTAAATTCCACAGTATGTTTAAAATTGGCAATTATACCCAGGGGATGCTTTTCCAATGAACAACATGCCCAGCCTTTTTTGAAACAGTCTCATTAAATTGCTAAGACTGGTCTAGAATTTGTGACCCTCCTGCCTCAGCTTCTAAAGAAACTATAGAAAGTCAAAGCTGTAAAACTAAATCTGTGAGCTAAACTGCACTTTATTTCCTTTGCTCTATTTAGAATGGGTTGAATTAATACTTAACTGGGTTTCACAAGTGCAAAGTCATCTTTGAAATGGATTTCCTCAAAGAGGTAAATGCTTTTAAAAATCCAAAATGTGTTTTCAAAGAGTAAACTGTTGCCAGGCATGGTGGCAATGACTGTAATCCCAGTGGCTCATGAGGCTGAAACAGGAGGATCTCGGATTCAAAGCCAGCCTTAGCCACTGAGCAAGACCCTGCCTCAAAATTAAAAAATAAAAAGAGCTGGGATGTGGTTCAATGGTTAAGCACCCAAGGTTCAATCCCTAGTACCAAAAAAACAAAATCACTAAAGAGTAAACTGTTTAAGCAGTTCAGTTCACTTTTTCATATATTCGATCCCAAGGTTTTATTTATACATATATATACACACACACACACACACACACACACTTTTTCAAATTAAAAATTAATTCCCTGAAGGCATATTTTGAAAGACAAAGTCCTGCACGGTGCCTATAATCCCAGTGACTAGGAAGGCTGAGGAGAGAGGATCACAGGTTCCAGGCCAGACTCAGCAATTTAGCTTAGGCTCTAACTAACTGACAGAGACCATGAATCAAAATGAAAATAAAACGGGCTGGAGGGGCTGGGGTTGTGGGTCAGAGATACAGCGCTTGCCTAGCATGCGTCAGGCACTGGGTTCAATCCTCAGCACCACATAAATATAAAATAACTAAAAAATAAATAAATAAAACGGGCTGGGGATGTGGTTTAGTGGTAATGTTCCTTGGTTCATCCCCAGCATCGCCCCCCCCCAAAAAAAAAGAGTCCTTCTGGAAAAATAGCAACTAATCATTAAAACGGAATTGTGATGTTACCTTTTTGTTCATATAAACCTAAAAGAACAGTAATCCAGGGTTAGGAGCCAGAGGCCCTGGGTTGGAACGGGAGGGAGACAACTTTGGGCAGCAGCTCATGCTCGCAGGGAGGCCACTTTCTGGCCGGCGTCCTCCCAGTGTTTTCGCCGTTCGGACCACTGAACTGAGGCACCACTGGGTTGTCTGCGGGTTACAAGAATACCCGGAAGGTAGTCCCCTAGCCCCAAGCCCGACCCAGTCCTCTGCGCTGCAAAACCTAACAACCTTGCGCTGCCCTGACAATGACGCGAAGAGGCAGCTTCTACCGCCCTACTCCAAGATGGCTGCGGGTCGGCGCTGGGGATGCTGGGCGCGCTCCCCGAGGGACCGGGGTGGAGTTGATGGGGCGGGGAGGGGGCAGAGCGAGCAGGATTCTGGCGCTGATTGGCCTGTGAGGCCGACCGGCCCCCAGCGCTGGTCCTCAGCGGGCGCTGCGGCCTGGGGCTGAGATGTGAGGGGCAGCGGGCGGGCTCCCGGCGGTGAAGGCTGTGAGCTGCGGCGGCTGCGGCGAGGGCGGCGCAGGCGGGCGGGCGAGGCCAGCGGGCGCCGTGGGCGGCCGGCCTTGTCGGCCGCGGGATGAGGAAACGGACCGAGCCCGTCACCTTGGAGCATGAGCGCTGCGCCGCCTCGGGTTCATCCTCCTCCGGCTCGGCCACCGCGGCGCTGGACGCCGACTGCCGCCTGAAGCAGAACCTGCGCCTGGCCGGCAAGGGGCCGGAGCCCCGTTGTGCAGCCGACTCGGGCATGAAGCGGACGCTGGGCAGGTGAGGCGATGCACTGGTAGTGGGGAGGGTTCCCCTCACCTGCCGTGCAGGTGCGGCCCACAGGTCTCCCCGAATCGCCGCCCCCCTCACATTAGATGCCTGCATAAGGATTTCCCACCTCACCCCCCATTCTCCCGGTGTCCTCTTTGACCCTTCTTCAGACCTCTTCCCCTTACTTGGCCTGCAAGGAGCTCCC